ATTAAGTTGGATCGCTGGATCGCTCGGCGACCTAGCGAAACGGACCGCCAGCTCGACAGGCGAGTTGGCTACCCAGATCATAGTACTTGAGGATGAAGGTTCTATATAAGACTGGCACGTCTGCCATTAGATAGGAGCTTCGTGCTCAACTTAGTTATCAATCTTATCATATTTGTTTGACATCTTTGATACAAGTAACGAGTTCACTTCCAAGTGAACAACCCGATAGTCTTCTTCTTATCATAGCATACCAACCAGCGAACACCCAGCCAAGTTTCGTTAGCCAGTTTGAGTATTCGTTACAATAAGGTATCGACTTTTCTACTCCTACTAGGATCCTTATAGTAGATTAGAATTAGTTATTAATTCCTCTAGTTATAACTAGAATTATTTTAGATATAATTTTATATATTATCAATTTATAGATTATATTTTCAAATGGTTATAGATAAGATATTAATATTAGTTACTCGCTTATATAATTATAGTATTCTAAATCTACTACTAAACTAGATAACTAAATCGTAAATTAAAAAGTTACTTTAGAGGGTATTTTATAAGAAATCGTAAATCGTAAATCGTAAAATAGTTTAGGGTTAGGGTTATATAAGAGCGCTAGAATTGAAAGTAAAATAAAACTATTTATAGAGAATTAAATAAAGATAAGGAATAAAATTATAGTATAAACTTAAATTAAAGATATATATAATCTTTATAAGTTACTAACTACTTACTTTCTGTTAATATATACTAGTTAGTATTAAGCTAAATATATATACTATATAACTTCGAAACTCTACTTTAACTATTATAAAATATTAAGATATTAAAAAAAACTAGTATATATTATAATAGAATATAAGTATTTAAAAAAAAAAACTATTATAAAATATTAAGATATTAAAAAAAAACTAGTATATATTATAATAGAATATAAGTACTTAAGAATAAAATAAGTAAATAAAAATATATAGCGCTTTTAATAGTACGAATTAACTACTAGTTTATACTATAGATTAAGTTTGTAAAAGGAATTAATAATTTATTTATATTAAAGGTTTAGTTTATAAAACTAATCTCTCTTATATATATTTTTACTATTTCCTTATTAGTTTACTATAAACCTTACTAAGTTTAGTAGTATAAGGGGCCTCTCTCTTTCTCTTTAAAGTAAGACTATTCTTAATAGGGATTAGTAATAGTATAAGTAAGGTAAGCTCCTAAAGTGTCACGAATCACGTGTTAGCAGGTGATGAGTGAAGACCAGGCGGCGTCCTGACAGGTTAAGCATTATCACGAACTCTTATAGCGAATAGGGATGCTTAGGCTAGTTAGACGATCCAAGGATTTCCTTTGGTTACTGTCACATGATCGACTGGCATCAGAGGTGGTCGGCCTGACGACCTCTGAGGAATCAGAAAGGATCAGAGCGACGGGCACTGATTTAGGAGAACGAAGGTTCTATATAAGACTGGCACGTCTGCCATTAGATAGGAGCTTCGTGCTCAACTTAGTTATCAATCTTATCATATTAGTTTGACATCTTTGATACAAGTAACGAGTTCACTTCCAAGTGAACAACCCGATAGTCTTCTTCTTATCATAGCATACCAACCAGCGAACACCCAGCCAAGTTTAGTTAGCCAGTTTGAGTATTCGTTACATAGAGCTCTATAAAGTATAAATAAATTACTGGAAGTATACTTAATTCTAAGCTATATACTTTAAGTAAAGGTTTCGATACTACTAGAGTAATTAAATTAATAATTAAAGCTATCCTTAGATAATATATTAAGCTTACTATTTATATAGATTTAAAGTTAATTTATAAATACTTAATAAAACTTAGTACTACTAAGGAGAAGCGTCTTATAATTAACGTTATAGCTTTATAATACGTATATAAACGACGAGATATTTATAATATTATATAGATTAAGGGAGATTTAAATTCTACTAATACTATAATAAAATTAAAGCTCTACTAGGCGCTTATAAAATTAATTAATTTAAATAAGATTAATATTATAATTAAAAAATATGTTAAGTTAAACGTAATAATAAGGATAATAGATGTCACGAATCATGTGCGCGCACGTGATAAGTGAAGACCAGGCGGCGCCCTGACAGGTTGAGCACTATCATGGCTCTTATAGCAAATAGGGATCGACTAGGCTAGTTAGACGATCCAAGAATTTCCTTTAGTTATTGTCACGTGATCAATTAGCATCAGAGGTGATCGGCCTGACGACCTCTGAGGAGTCAGAAAGGATCAGAGCGACGGGCACTGATCCAGGAGAACGAAGATTCTATATAAGACTGGCACGTCTGCCATTAGATAGGAGCTTCGTGCTCAACTTAGTTTAGCAATCTAGTTATTAAGTTATTACTTCTTTGTTAACAAGTGACGAGTTTACCTCCGAGTAAATAACCCGGCGCATCTGTACTTCTTACCCGCATACCAACCGTCGAAACGATTACCTTTGTCAGATAGTTTGAGTTTCGTCACAATAGATCTAATAATGATTTAGATTAATAAGCGAGGAATCAAGGATTCTAATTAGATAAGAAATATAGAATAGGATAAATTTAGTTTAGCTAATTAGTTATTTTAGTACTAAGTATTTACTTTTCTTTTTAAAAGTAAATCTAGTATTATTATACGAATATTAAGTAAATACTTAGTATAAGTTATAACACGTACAAGTTAGCCTTAGGGCTAGCAGGGGCGCTAGCGCCTTAGCACTACTATATAATAGCAAGCACCTATAACCTTTACTCGGTATATATATCTAATAGTCGAATACAATACTATTCTATTTATATTAACACTTTGTCTGGACTCTCTATTAGAGTCAAACCAACAGTATGGGACAGTGCTTAATTGTGCCTATAAATCTGTATTGTCTATGTGTCTTTCCGACAAGCACAAGTGGCGCAGCATAGATAGAAAGAGCCGCATGTGGGTGCCTCGCGTCACACTTGCTTCCGCGCCACCAGGCGCCACACTTGCCTGCGCTGACCTTAAGCTATAGTGCAAAGAAAAGCCGCACTGGCTTGCAAAATACCTAACACAAGATCCGCGGAGCATTTCAGAAACCAAAACAATACAAGACAAGACATGTAGACTGATGATCAAAATGTCGATCATTATTGGGCGGTTGTACCTCGAACAAGAGGCAAAAGACCCTCCATCGCGGGGGTGGCTTACTGGGACTGGGGAAGCTGGGGAAATATTCCGTGCGTCGTAGCTTGATTGTTCAATAACCCGCTGTTTTGAGTTGAACAAGGACTAGATTAATAGCTGTCTCTGCCCTACAAGTGCACCTACCACTTGCATTTGTTGCTCTTGAAACTGCATCAAATCAATACTGGTATTTCCACCCAAAGCCATAAGTCGCTTAAGGGCGTCATTCAGATATTACGACTAAGCTAATAGCACTTTTCAAGGATACTTGCCAAAGTCTTACGTAGAAATGCATCATCTTGCGACTGACTCTAGTTTTCGCAAGAAACATATCCATCAAATCAGCATTCCGCATTTTCATAAGGGGAACCTGGAAAGTGTTTTTTTTTGTTTTTGTACCCTCTAGAATACCTTATTTCATAGTACAAACTGTAGAGTTATAGAATGCCTGGTGCCTGGACATAATTTATCATAAGGCCTCTTTAATAGTTATTACAGTCTATTTGACTAATAGAAAGCTTAGTATTAGCCTTAATATTAGTATATACTAGCCGAACTATTTACACCTAGGCTATACTAGTAAGTCTTAAGAGCTTCTGCTATATGACTAGCCGATTTACAACTTACCTGATTGCTGCCACATTTTACTCTAATTAAGCTCTCTGATTAGTTGAAAACAAATACATATATATCTTCTATGATTCTTGAATTGAGGAGGCGTCTTCTCTGGAATGTTCTATTCTATTTTAAAGGAAGTCCAGAATGTCCCATGTGGCGTAGACTTCTAAAAATTTGATGCCGATTGCTGCATCAAATAAATCACCGATTTCACCAACAGTTTCGCTGGCAGCAAGCTATGGGATTGGGCAGCAATGCAAGAATTCCAAACACAATACAAAATGAGAGGCTCTAGGTATGTTTGCAGGTGCCCAAAATATTCAAAGTGGAAAGTAGAGTCTGGCCTTATTCGCAAGCTTCCGGCCCCCACCTCACCCGCGCTATTTTTCAAAAGAAGTGCTCCTATTTAGATTCGATTGGCTGACGACTTTGTATGAATCGAACATAGTGCCCGTTCACCAGCGGTGGCACCACTTGTGCAAGCCTCTTTTAGCTAAACTAGCCTCCCTTGTTTCGCAACTTCATGTTTCAGAATGCCCGTGAGTTAAGGCCTAGACTCTTTTCTCTGACGGAACAGACTTTATGGGAAGCTTCGAGACAAGCTTCCCTCAAGATCTCTCAAACATTAGTCTGATAAAGTTATTGGTCGATCAATGTCGCTAAGCATTGGGTCTCCCATGGGATTTGAGGTTCCGGTGGGATTCAGATGCCATTCTTTTCCGGTTCCTTAGCAGCCGCATATGTAGAAGCATGGTGCAGGGCTGCATCCGGTATGAAGTTACCGCTACGATACCAGAAAATATGGCTGAAGTGTATTGCCCTGCAAAGCTTGGGTATGTGGAATGCTCAGGCGAATTATGCCCCGTCATTCAGACGAATTGCGCTCATTGTACCAATCGCCAAGCACACTGTTCACGCTCAGGTGTTTACTGGGCTGAGAATTTGAGCTCACTCTTCTATCAGAGATGCATCGCGACTACTATATATTCTGGCATTTCCATCTGTCATCTCCACATCTTCTCCACACAGAATCAACTCAATCATCCAAACTCAATCATTCAAAAGCCTCTTCTCTTCCTCATACACTCTCCACACCAACGCACACTTCTCAATCATCTCAAAACTTCCAACCTCATTCCTTATACAATCTTCACACACCGACTAACACTCTTTCAACAAATCAACAACAAACAAAATGCAATTCTCAATTCTCCTCACTACCTCCCTCTTCTTCCTCGTCACTTCTGCGAGCAAGAACCCTCGAACCAGCCCAGAGGAACTCCAAAAACGAGCTGATGTTGTCGTTGCTTGCGAAGCTGGCACTTTCCAAAATCCAGGGGAAGACATGAAAAATGTGGTTTGCAAAGCATTTGCAAAATGCCAGAGCGGAAGTGACGCAGATGAGGAAACAGATCCTACGACAGGCAAGATCATCAATGTAGCTCAGTGCTCAGGGTGCCCAACTCAACTGGGCGACCTCGTAAATAGATGCTTCTACGTCCAGAGCACTCCTGCTGGCATCATAAGACTGCCATCTTCTGGCAGTGACGTCCTGGATAAAATGGCCGGCAAGAACGCCGATGACACCACCGGCAAAACTATTGATAACACCACTGGCAACACTGTCGATAACACCGCCGACAACACTGTTGATCGCACTGTCGATGACACGGTCGATAACACTATTGATAACACTGTCGATGGTGAGTACCAGTAGACAGCTGCTTGGAGGATTTGGAAGGATTGGAGTTTATTCTTTTTTGGGAGGTTTGCAAGAACCTGGCGTTGGAATCTGCAATTTTTGGCGCAAATGGACGGACGGCGTAGAAAAAAAACTTGATAAGTGGGCTTCAACAGCATGGGAATCATTGGGTGGCATAGATGGGCTTACCAAGGGATGGCGTAAACTGGTGTATTGGCGTTTCTTGTTCGTTCATTCGATTTTCAAGGCGTTTAAGGGGACGGGCAGGAAAATCCCGGTGTGTTTATTTTTGCTTATTTGTAATAACATGAATTTCTCTACGCTACAAGACAAAATTATCAGAAAATCGTTAAAAACCACAACCTCATTCCAAAATGTCCAAGTTTTTTACATCTTGCTTTGCGACTCTAACTTGCTTGTAAGCGCAGTCAGTTGCGAATTACTGTAAGCTTAATTTACGGGACATCTACCTTGTATCTTACTATGCGAATATATATGTTCTCCCCGCAAGCCTTTCTCAAAACAATGTTTATCACCATCCTGGGAGATATAGTATAATCGTTTACAGATAATAGACCTCGGAGGATGACGAGTGTACTTCCCTCGAAACACGGAACCCCTTTCATCGTTTGGTACAAAGTACCTCCTCCTTCACACCAATTAACTTGGATACCACTAAATAATTGGAAGCGATAAGGGGATTAACATATCGCCTCGTTGCTACGTACGTATGTTTCGATTTTATTTTGTTATCTCTACTCTTAGTCTTAGTAGTTACGCTCACTTTAACGCTGTAGTACCACTCACGTGCCAATTAGGTTTTACGGAGCAAGTCGGACCGAGACTCCGTAGCGCGCCTAGGTATTATTACAGCTGGTCCAACTACTTTAATTTAGCTAAACCACTATTATATAGATAAATTATTAAGACGGCTCCTTTTTTGAAATCTTCGCTTAATTAGGAAATCGTAAACCTGTAAACCGAAAAGTACATACGTAGTAATGAGAAGATAAATTATCTTGTGACTACAATAATTAATAAGCAGTGTTTCAGTAGTAGCTTAATGTTTTGAAGCAAAGTACTAATGTATTTAATTCTAAAGAAGTCTTGTATCTATTAGTTATTAGATTAAGTAGCATACATATTATATAGCCCCTTCGCTTAATTACAGTAGCAAGAAACAGGGATTTTCTACAATCAGTGGTACTTTTCGGTCAGCAGATAGTCCTAGGGTGATACCCCACTTTTATGAAGCTTACCCTAGCCCTAAGGCCAAATAGTCAAGGCATGAAACTGAGAAGTGCTATATCAAGCCATGTAATAGTAGATTGAAAAATTGACCACTGAAACGTACACGTACATAAATGAACAACAACGCTTGAGACCTTTTTGCTACAGTAATTGAGTGAAGGCGCTTCATTACCTACCTAGCTGACGTAGCCTACGTTGAAAAATACTCCTTGAAGGGGCTATGGATCAGGGATAGTTGGAGTTCTGTTACTATTAGAGGGACCAGGGTTCAAAATAAGCACCAGAAGCTCCCATTAATGCTAGGCTTCAAAGCTTATACAACAAGACGTTCCAAGAGAATAGGTCCGTCTCATGTCGGCTCCCATACAGCAATGTTCCCTCTTACTTTGAAGTAATCTACTCACTGTACTAGTATGTTCCAAGTAAATAATGAGAGTGCTATTGCTACCAAGAGGACCAGGGTTAAAACTCAAGTTCTAGAAGCTTCTCATAAGGCTAGGCTTCAAAGCTTGTACAGTAAGAGACTCCAAGACAACAGTTCAGTCTCCTGTCGGCTCCCATACCGTACTATTCCCTCTCACTTCGAAGCGATTTACTGTACTATACTAGTATGTTCCAAGTAAACAGTTCCGCGTCATGTTAATCCATGCCCTATCCAAGCCACAAGCTGACCCCCGTCTTTATGTCATTGTTCATCCGTGTATTCACGCCAAGTACCAAGAGTTACTTGAGTACTTGTATATCCAGTCAGTAAACATTGTAGACTTCTGGTTTTACGAGATTTATCGGATGACATTTCTTGGCTGCGGTGAATTGCTTGGCACACACTCCATTATCGAGTACAAGCAGAAAGAATGACATCACAAATTGGTCTGTACACCTCGCCTTGTAATTCGGATAATAGAGCTGTGAACATCATTTGTATATTGAGAAAATGAATAGTCAATAGAATCATTAGATTCATGAACAACTCGCTTCAAGCCCTAAAACATACCTAGTCGTAGTGCACTTACGACTACTCGGTGATACTATACTAATGAAATGGGGCTAAACAACCAAGAATGAGGATATCCAAAAAAGGTCACTTGTTGCCACGCGAGCCACGTCAAGCATATGCCAAGCTTTTTAGCGAAAATATGGCATCCAGCTATCCCTGCACCTCAACTTTTCACTACCACCAACTAGCGGTAGGCTGAACCCTTAAGGGGGTTTGGTCTTAGTGCTCTCGCCAAGCGAACCAATCTTGGCCAGAGCACTAAACCAAACCAAACCACCAAGAAAACCATTCCAACCACTAAGCGAGTCAACCTTGGCGAGAGCGCCACAGTAGAGCCAAACCAAGTCAAGCGTTCCTACCGGTAATCAAGACAGCAAGGGAAGTTCTAGAACAAGTGATATCATATGACCAACTGCTAAATATACACAAGATACAAATAGTCTCAAACAACACGATAGGCGAAAAGCGAATGAAACAATGCTATCCTCTGCTAATCAAACAAGAATGCACCGATCATTTAATTTGTTCAGCTCAAAATACTTCACGCCACACCACGCACAATTCTACGAACTTTGAAACTTCCTCACAGCCCATGTTGCCCAAATAAATGAAACAACTAAATGAATAAGTAGAACAAAAAGCGCCGAACGGAGAATACCGTGCTATGTTATAACAGCACTAGTACGGTACCTCAGATATCCGGTACCTGCTGGCTACTGGTAACCAATTCGAGTATGTAATACTTGAAACATAAAAAGAGTTACCGTATTTATTGGAATATGAGACAACATTTGAGAATAGATTAGGGCCTGTTTGGATTAGACTATTTTAGCGATTATACGCCGTATTATAAGCTGCGTACTATTACTGCATAAGTAACTGCAATATACTCGTGAATTAATCCCGCCATACAAAGAATGGCTCCTTTGGGATACCATTTCTCGCGATTATTTTCAAGGACATATACAAAGCACTATAAAATCCATGGCCAAATTATAACACCTGTAACTAAAAAAAGTCTCGCCACTTCTAATCTCACTATATACTTACCGTCGCACGCAGAGAGAACAAAAGTATAGCCCTGTATTATCACGTGAATAAACACGTCAACGTGTGGTAATAAAACTTCTGTAAATTTAATGAAATCTTACTTATAGAGTACCACGTTATTCCTTAAACTCCTACCGTAGAATCCTTCAAGACCTCTATCTAAGAAGGGGTGCGTTTGAATCAGGGGCTCGCTAAACACGAAAAATCAGCTTGGCGGGATAAGGAGCGAGGGGAGAACGTATTTTACACTATTCATAATGTTAGTGAATATGATAGCATGGTAAATAGATAACCTGTAGGTATGGTCTATACTTTAGATAGTGAATTTTATACCAAAAAATTATTAGTAAGCTGGCAAGTTTACCTTGCGATTATATTAAACAATTGCAAAAATAATCGCAAAAGTAATTGTAAAAGAAGTCTAATTTGACCAGACTCTAAGGTTCTACCTTTTCAAATTATTAGTATCGTATCTTATTTCTTTTAGACGATAGAGGTAGTAAAAAAACGTGCACTTAAAGTAGAGTAAAAGTCTATTTTTATAATATCTTTCCTTTTGTTGGTTTGTCCTCTTTAGCTAGTGGACACGGAATATAACGTTGTAGTATATTCGTATGAGATTCCAAAAGATTGTAGTGGACTAGCTGATAATATGTGTTGGTGTTAGGGGGGTTATTGTTTCTAGATGAACGTTTTGGTTATACAAGTTATTTTGTATTCTAATTAATACGATAGTACGTTTATTACAAAGACGGTATATAGTATCTTCTTAGTAGTTTTTTTCTAGTACTGTAGTAATTTAATTAACCGCCATATATTCAATATGTATCTCTTCAAACGAGAGCCGAAATTTTGTATATACGCTATGATACCATTCCCACACTAGAACCCTTCTAGGGCCCATATAACATTACCATTCAAAAAACGAAAGGACAGGAAAAGATATGCAAATTTACAGCCATCCATCTCCAGACAATCAGGGACAATTACAATAAGCATCCAAAGATCAACCCCAAACGCCAACGCTAAATTTTGTGCAAGACCCGTGACCGAAAACACAATTATTGTCTCGCTTTTGCTCAACTCCACTCTGTGGGATACTTTGACAACAAAACTACCTTGTACCTTCCCCACCAAACCTCTCCTGTTCAAATGAGAACCTGTTCTCAGCCGGCACAGGAACATGAACCAAATCCTCGCCCTTCAATCTCTTCCGTCCCGTGTAGGGATCCAGCGTCTCTCTCGTCTGCATGTCCGCTCGCAGAGCAATCATGTCCTCCCTCAAGAACTTGGAAGGATCCTCGTATCTTTGATGTCCCGCAAATTGGCTCGTAGATGCGTCACTGGAAGACGGAGAGATTGGAGAGTGAGGTAGTGTTGAGTGAGGGTTGTAGTATAATGATGGACTGGAGACTGAGACGTCGAGTTGACGGTTGGAATAGTTGGGGTTGGAAATATTATATATGTCGCTCACAGCGCTGACGCTGATGGGGTTTGTGGATACGGTTTCGTGCTCGGTGTAGTGGCTTCCTAGGGTGCTGAATGTGCTGTCGGTGCTAATTGTTCCGCCGGGTGAGGTGAGAAGAGTCTGTTGTTCCGTAGAAAGGTTGTGAGAAGGTGAATTTGGTAGTAAGGGTAAGTGAACGTTGTCTGAGAGCTGCCCGGCGTAAACGATGTTTCCGGGACTTAGACGTCGATAGGTTGGTGGTGGACTTGTTGGGCCCAATGTTCCTGTGCCGAGTGTGCCACTTCCTATCCTCCCAGCTGCTGCAGTACCCGTGAAGTTTGGTGATACTGGCGACGGCTGAGCTGAAGATTTGTGTGACTCTAGGACGGGTGATACCAATGGAGTGTGGCCCTCCGAGTAAGTAGGTGTTTGAAGGTATCTTGTATGATCCGCGGCTAAGTTGTCCTCTTGCTGCGATTTCTCTACGGGATAGCCTTCATGTATAGGGTTATGATATGACCCTTGCTGACGCTCCAATTTCCGTCTTGCTCGCTCATATGCAGACATGTTACTTGTGTCTGTGGTTGAAGAGCCGTTTTCCGTAGTGCCAGATAGAGTTCCTGCTTCGCTATCCAGCTCGGCTGGCCCCAAGGGAGCAGCAAGCTCAAACCTTTCGTGGTCTGCACCAGCTCCTACTTCTGTTGCATAATTTGTGCTGCCTGCTGCTTCATTTACACCCGGAGGAGGTGGTGGTGCATCATGTCTTCGGCGGAAACGGCCTAGGAACGAGGACGGTTCAATGTCTGTTGGTTTTTCGTCTGCATCTTCAGAAGAAGGCTGCTTTGGGTTTAGCTTCCGGCGACGGAGGCAGAAGAAGAGTAATATGGAAAGTGCAATGATTGCCGCGGCCCCAACTACTATACCAACAATAGCCCCGATGGCCATTTTTCTTGTCGGTTTTGAAGATCCCTCAGGAGAAGTTGTGCTGTTATTTGGCCCAGTGAAAGTGCTATTGTTTGGTCTGTCAATGGCGATAATATTGGTTCCCAAAATAGGGTTTGTTGTATGGATCGCTTGATGAACCGAAAACGTGTTTCGCTCGTAGTCAGTAATGACATATGCCTCTTGTAGGAAAGCTCTTCCAATGGTATATTGAGCTTCATTTGTTGCTCGCTTTATCGGGAAATAATATTTTGTCGAGTCCGGTGCTCCGTATGTTGCATTCAGCCCAGGGAAAGGGACTGAAAGCTGTAGATCAAACGCAGCATAGGGAAGTGTGATGTTAATATTCATCGGTGAAGTGCCAACGTCTGAAAGTGTGAAAGTAAAGCTTAGTTGTGAATTCATCAGTGTATCATGTTGAGCAGAGTTTTCATCGAAGGTGTAGAGATCTAAGGAGCTATTGAATGACAATCCTAGAGTCTGGGCAAATCGATCACAAACTGATTGTGGTAGCCATAGATACGGTGTAGAGCTGTCAATAACAGCTGAGATCCGATCTGCGCCTGATGCCAATTGAATAGGCGTAGTCCAATTGTTTGAGCTCGCGGTTGATGTTACTGAGATAAAGTTGACGGAAACTTGTGGGTTTTGAAGGATGTTGAGGTTGAATGTGATATCGTGGGGTTGTATTCGATTTGCATCATAGCCACCAAGAGTCAGGGAAGTTGGGACCCCTTTTTGTTCTGTTCTTGTTAGTCAGGCCAAACAAAATTATAAGATTTTTTATATCTATTCACTTACGATATTTGGCCCCAGCAGTATATCCATAGCTGTGGCTGGGTATCGCGCTGGCGTTCTCGACCAATCCACTTATCGCTGGGAGCGAAGTGACTGTCTGGAACTTTCCAGCTACGATCCCCAAGCCAAACATTCCCAACAGGTATTGTGTGGTATTTATTGAGCCAATAATGGTGGATTTCAGAGTGACGCCTGTTGGATCAAAAGTTACATCATCCAGGCCATAGTCCGCATATCCTTTGCCTCCTAGCCGAGCGTCCACGCCCAAATTGAACCGTCCCTGATCTTGCCATGTCGAAGAGGTCCTGAGGTCGTATATTTCTCCTCTAGCCGCAATACATATGGAATCTGGAGAGATGAAGTTAGCGATTGATGTGGAATGCTGGACCCTCCCGTCGCTTGAAAATTGGCACACTCCACCCCCAGAACTCTATTCTGTAACTCTATCCGCACCAACGTCCACCTTATGACGACAGCTTGGACAACTTCACCCCCCTTTTCCTAGTCTCGCTTCCTCGCTGGGCTTCAACCAACAAAGAAAAAGATGCGACTCACTGTTTCTCGGACATCCTCCTGGGCCTATCAACCACGTCTCGGAGCTCACGGTGTCGACCATTACATCAACCCATTGCTGCGGCGTGCCCACGCGTAGTGATATGGCGGACCATGAGCCATCGTAGCCGTACCTATCGTCGTACACTGCGTTAGCAAACAATTCACGGGGCCGCAAATCTCGCGATGCTCTCGCAGCTTAGCTTTCGGGGCCGGAACCACTGACCAATTCGTCGAAGGGGTTACACTCAAGGGTGCGACCGCGCTCTGTACTGGTGGTGTTTGAAGGGCAACGATCGCAATTAATCCCCAAGTCCACCGAGTGGCCGAATGCATGGTCACAATTGAAGGCGCATTCTCGTCACGAGCACTCACGATAGACAGTCAGCGACAGTGAGGGTGTTGAGGATTCTAGAAGGCAAATCTACCAAGTGGCAAGCTGACTACGGGAGATTTCAGTGAGCCACAGCATACGGAATACTCTAGCAGGGCAGGTGCAGGGCGCGGCATGGCTACGAGTACTCAAGTACTGTACGAGACGAGTACGATCTGCTCGGAACTCTCCAGTGCCGTTTGGGGCACAATGTCACTGAATACCCACCCAGATGCGTGGGGTGGGGGATCCACTGGGTAATGAGTGCATTGCAGTGGTCTCAGGTCCCCTCTTCCAGCCAGGACCGACCTATCGAGCCTATCGGTACGAAAATGGAATCCGTACAGAGCACGAGGAGTTCTCCTCCCTTCTCCTTGATTCGTGCCGTAACTACTCTAATCGTACTGGTACAAGTACTGTACTGTACGGGCTTATCTACTGCGCCCCACGGAGTTCGTCCGTCGGCGTGTTCGATTCAGCCTTGTATTGTCTCAATCACCAACCGGATATCTACATACGCCACCAACCGATTGTCGAGATGAAGAAATGCGGAGAACTGCAACCTCGATAAATGTGACTTTGATCGTCAAATCATCTGTGAGATGTGTATCAATCTTGGCCGGCTCAGATACTGGCTTCCAAAGCCATATTCAACATGACTTTTCCAAGAGCGACTTCTTGAACCGGAGGAGTCTACGAGTACTCAGATGTCCGCTAGAATTGGTATTGGCATGAGCATTGGCATTGGGGGCGGACGCTGAAAGGATGAGTCTCATCCCTCCTGAGTAACATAACCAACTAACTCTTGGACATGTTTGAGAGTGATTACTAGAATTTCAGCTCCCTTCCTAGTGAAATCCTAGGCGAGAGTTGTAGGGAGAACATGAAAGGTGTCATTGTTTACAGATGGTTACTTTTGGGAGGATGTCATTCCCAAGAACCCCAGGTTGTTTACTGAATGGGGTCTCGTGGTAGTTTTTGAGAAAGAAGTCAATTCGGTTACAATTAGCCATCATCAGTGTTAATATCGTGGGAGCTTTAGGAAGAGCCACTGTGGGTATTTGAATGGTTTTCCTTGTCCATGGCTGACAGTTCGGCCAACCTCCTCCAGCTCGAGCTCTGCTGGCGCAGAATGCATTTGAACGGCTTTGTCAATTGGTCGTTTCCAAGAGATAGGATGCATTTCTCAATTTTTTTCGTTGTCGAGTCTATATTATGTCGGCAAGACTAAAGCATCCGCCATGAATTCACTGGCGTTACCGGGGCAGGAAGTTACGAAGTTCTTCGACCAAAGATCGTCGGTAAGCTGAGTCGTTTTGACGTCGTGGCTCCCCTGTATCACTGTGCAAAGACCAGTGGGGACTTGAGGATTGAAATAATGACGGTCAGCACGATACTCGACCATTTCATGGTCTTAGTTTTTTTGCCTCTTATGTACGTGTCGACACGAAAGCTGCTCTCGAATGGCTTTGCCTCCCCGTTTGTGCCACAAGAAAGTTCAGATGGTTTACAGTTCAGGGACGGACCACGGATCGTCTGGAAACTTCCCTAGTGTGGACAAGTTGCAGTCCTACGAAGCTATTTTTGATATTTCTCTATCCCTCGCTGCTGTACCACCCACCTTACCAAAACTCACTTTGTTCTAGCCTTTGCTCGAAAACCTTTTCGTTGTTCGCCCCTGAAGTTATGGAGTAAAAATGAGAAGAATTGACGAATTATGTCCAGTCTTCTCGCGGAAGAAACTACCATTTGGGTTTACTTTATCTGCTCCGGAGTGAGGGGAGACATGCACAGCCAGTAGTGCATCGGGCGGGTGGGTTAAACTCGCCGGGTTTTTGACAAAAAAAGGCAAGAAGAGCGGGAAGCGATTGGTTCTGATGAATGATGGCGAAAGGTTCTTTCAAAGCTGCAGGTTTATCCTTGGAAAACATGTGGTTTATGCTCTGGTGGCGTGCTGTCTATTGATCTCTACCATTGATCTTTACCGTAAGTATCACGCGCGAAGTGGTGGGACGGCGCTGGCCGAGGCCGTGCATAAGCCTGTCTCTTGGAGAGGTTGGAAAGGACAGCATTATATGGCTCATTTACGAACGCGGTGTCGCACAAGGTATTTCTAATAGCCATCGCGCGGTTCCATTCGATACCTGGAAGAAGAAGGTGGATGAATATTTCCCTTGAGGGGAGGATATTTGAGCCTTAAATTGCTTCACTTGAGGATTATGGTCTTGTGCGCAAGTGGCACTGGATTAAATTCGAAAAGACGCCAAATGCCGCTGAAGGAAGAAGTGTCATGCTCTCGTTGTTCTCGCATTAAAGAAGAAACGAGATTGAGCTCTGCCGTTACATTAAGCTCAGCACGGCAAGACCACCCGTAGCGTAGGGCAATCAAATGACAATCGGCTGTTGATTGACCTATTCGGGCACCGGTGGCGGGGACCTTTGGTTTTCTCGTTTGGGGCAATGGTGGTGATGGGATCTTATATCGGACATCATTCCGAAAAATTGCCGTGGTGGGGTAGGGGACAACTACTATCACATCGAAGTTGCAATTGTAAAAGAGCCTCAACGACCAAGTACGAAATTACGACGGCCTGCTCCAATCTTCAACTGGAAAGTGACGATGGATATTTTTGCTTCGAAATTGAAGAAGTCCAGGCGTGTGGGTCTTGTGGCTTCGCCCAAGTCGGCGATCTAAATGCTGTACTGTAAATATGCTTGATCTCTCACAACTGCGATATTACAGTCGCACCACAGGTCTACGCCTCTTGGGTTCAGAAGTTTGGAGACGATAATGATCATAAATAAGTTCTGGATGGATGATTGTTTCTCCGGTTCTGCTCCGCTCGCTTACCTGTACCCTTTCTCTTCGTTCTCTTAACGACCGAGTGAATCGCTCGTCTGAAGAGCTTGAATCATCGTCAGACTCGTTCAAGGGACAAGCAGCGTTCAAGCGCTTTCTCAGACGCCAACCAACGAACCAACAGAAAGGCTGTCCCTTGAAGCTATCAAAGGTTGTCCAGCAGCCACCGGCAGCCACTCAGGTCTCCCACTCACCAATAGTTTCTTGCCTGAGGAACAACAAACCGGAGAATCAACACCAAAATAGTCGCTTGAAATCCAAAGAGGCGCCACCTCCGCGCATTCGGCACCACTTGGTAGCGGGGAAGAAGATGAGGATGTGTCTCCGGCACTGGGTAAGGGTCGGTCCAATCGCCATATGGCGTGTTCAGCTGGCCCCGTATCTCAAGTCGTCCCTCATGCTGACAGTGACAGCTTGGCGACCAGTAGCAGTTCAGCAGCTTGATACAGGACGTCTCTGGAACACTGCACCGACGCCCCCACAGGGCTTTGAGGCTTTGTGGGAGCATACGAAGCCCTCAGCGATGGCAGCTACAGTTAGCGACCGGTTTCTGTGTCTACTGTATGTCGCTACTTGTGTACTGTAATCTACAGTCGCTGCTCAGCCCGCTTCGCTTGTCCAAACATGAGCATGCTCCAACCAGTCGTTCAAGCTTATTCAAGCCCCCTCCCTCCCTTCCCTGTCTTTACGCCTCTCACCTGCTTCCGACGAAGAAGAAGTTGTCAGGACCGTGGCAGTGGGAGTGGAATTGCACTGCGATTTAATCTGTACCCCCTCGTACCGTAAGCAGGTGACGGGCCCGCACCATACTTTATTCCTCCCATTTCATCCGCGCCGTCTCCTGCTATAACCACTTTTGCCATGCGTTGAGTGCACCGAGACCCCAGGGCTCTTTTCCTTTATCCATTCCACAATCGTTTTCGTGCCATACCATTACCTTTTAGTCACTCATTGAAGTTCTGGATTCGTGGAGAGCCTCTGTTCTTTCTGGTTGCCTGCCATCACCCATCATTTCTTCGTGTCGAGCCCTCGTATCTGACCTTTCCTCGGTCATCTCAGACTAGTTGTGGTCCTGGATTACTTCAAGTCATCCTGGGATTCCGAGTTCTTTGAGAGATGCAATTCTCTCATGGGCTATTCTTCTGGGCTATCCAGGGCAGCACTTTTGTTGCCGTCCAAAGTTTACCTGGTCCAGCCAGTATGCCACACTTTCCAAGCGAGTATCAAACTTTATTTCTAACTTTGTCATCTCAGATCCAAGTCCGCAGCCATACCAAAATACAACAAGGGCATCGACGACGTCAAGTAGTAGTACGAAAAGCCTGAAGGCTTTTGAAGAAGTCTTTTCCCCACCACCCATTTCGCGAGGGGTGATTACTCGTCCGAAAACCACGACATCCTCAACAAGAAGCAGTAGTATATCAACGTCTATATCAATAGTAACTTCTACGACAAGTATTCCGATCAGCACCTCGTCTTCTAGTAGCTCTGGGTTTTCAACGAGAAGCAGTTCTGTAACTGTATCTACTGTGTCAGGATGGCCCTCGTCTACCAGCAATTCAAATTATACTATCACCAGACCACCAATTGCGGTCCCTACATCAAACGATCTTCCTTCAAATTCCACTTATACTTTTAAGAATGCCACTACCAAACTCACTACTTCCTATGCAAATACAACCACCATCCCATGTACGACACTGCAACCGGGCGAAGTTTCCACAGTGTTCATAATTCTACCGAATACCAACACGCGTACTGTAACTCGATATGGTAATGGCACCCAAGCCTCCATAGCATTGCCCTCAACGGAGCCAGAATTTACTCCTCCAGTCTATTGCCCGACTGGCATCCCTTATTCGACAGCCGCTTCAGCTAGCACGACACTCTCGAGTGTTGGGGTGCCAGGGACGTCTGATAAATGGTGGGGCACTTCGACCCACGCAGTACCGACTATTGGATCTCCAGCATATTCCATTCCTCGACCACCGTCGCCTACTCAGAGTGGTCAGAATCCAATTACGGTCATTACCACGAGCAAAAATCCACTTTACACTGTTACCACGCTTGGCGATTTGGGATATCCTGATGGACCTAAAACAACCAAAGGAGTGCCTGGCTCCCAACAAGATCCTACTGATGATACTAATTGGGGTCCTCTGCCGTTTCCACCGCCTTCGAATCCTAATAACCCTGTGACACCCAACGTTCCTAATATACCCAAAAACCCAGCAACTAGCAATCCGGGCAATAGTAGTCCGGGTAGCAGCAATCCAGGTAGTAGCAATCCAGGAACTAGTAACCCAGGAACCAGTAAACCAGGTAGCAGCAATCCAGGAAACAACAGTCCAGTATCACCCAATAACCCCGAAACACCTAGTAATCCAGGGACTAGCAGCCCAGGAAATAACAATTCGGGGAGCAACAACGGAGCAGGAGCTGGGAACCATGGTGGAAGCGGTGCTACTACTGGAGACGCATCAGGAGCAGGAAATCATGGAGGAGCTGGAACTGGGACTAATACGGGTGCTGGAAATGGAGGAGGGAATGGAGCGGGTAGTGGAGCAGGAAATAACAATGGCGGTTCCAATAATGGAGCGGTGGGCGGGGGAACTGGAGGAGGAGCTAGCACTGGGGGATCGAATAATGTCCCTGATTCAAACGGAGCAGGATCTGGTAATGGAGGAGGTTCTTCTGGTATTCCTGGAGGTCAGAATATTAATAACGTTGGAGGCGGCAATGGGGGCTCTAATGGCAACCCGAATGTTGCCACACCTACTACTGCAACAATTGGCGGCGTTCAGGTTGTTGTTCAACCAACACAGGTTGTCATCGGCACACAGACGATATCAGTGCCTAACATAGGATCCCCTGGAAACGGGAACGGAAATGGCGGTGTTGAAAATGGTAACGGAAATTCAAACGGCAATGGACCAAGTTCGAGAATTGTTGTTGAGAACGGACAAACATTTGCCATCAATCCTTCACAAGTGATTGGTGCCGGCTCAACAATCAATATTCCAGTGACTAGTGCTGGCGGTCTTTTCAGAGAAGCTATACCGACAGTCATATCTGGAGTCCCTGTACAGCTCGGTCAAAATAGTGCCGTCATCGCTGGGGTTACATACTCAATTGGAGCAGGTGCACCACAAACAACGATTTCGGTCAGTGGGCAGATTATCACAATCGGCCCCAATGGACTTGAATTTCCTCAGACAACTGTCCCTCCGCGCGCTCCTCTACCTACCAACATTGTGGTTATCGAAGGTCAGCTATTTTCTGCAATTGGTGCCTCTGTCGCCGTTGTTGGAAGTTCAACAATAACCTATGGACCAGCGATGCCAGCCCAAACCAAGACTTTCAATGGTGCTCCAATCACGTTGGCGCCGGGCGGAATCTACTTTGATGATGGGAAGAGCTTGGGTGGTGCGGCAAATCCAAGCAACACACAGCTAGGCATTGCTGGCGCACTGACAATAAGTGAAATCGGTTCAAGCATTGCAGTTATCAACGGTGTAACATTTACTGTCGGGCCTGCTGGCTCGTCGCCGACTACCACGGTCATTAATGGGAAGACTATTACTATAGACCAAAGAGGTATTGGTCTCGGAAGTACGACACTTTCATTCCCTTTCAACCCAACAACTCGAACGTTCTCCTATGGAGACATCACCTATACCCAGATTGGAGGGAGCTTGGTAATATTAGGGGGAACAACATTCACAGTTGGTGCCGGAGCAAAGCCAACGACGATTTTTGAAAATGGACAGACTATCAGTATCGGACCCGGTGGAATGGGCTTCGCATCCACAACAATTCCTCTAGATATAACGACATCAACACCGACACCGACAGCGGGCGCGAGTGTGGGTGTCAATGCAGCGAAAGCTACAAGTGCCAGCGGAGCAGGCGTAATAAGACCAATGACTGGAGTTTGGGGGTTATGCATGTTGATTTGGGCTGGGTATATGATGTGAACTGAACTTCGTTGGGAGGAAAACCCCTGATTTGAAATGGTTGGGCGTTTTACGGGATTTCATATGCATATACCCGGGCACAAAATGGGCTTTTAATGAGTGCTTTTTGAGATGAGATTTTGTAATTGTAGTGTATATAGACGTGCCATGAGCGGGCTATGAAAATGATACATGAAGGTTTTGAAGATACTATTATCTATATTACAGTTATCTTGAATGATGTGGATCAGTTATTGTATGGTGATGTACGTTTATTCACGCTCAACTTAGTGTGATGGTCGGCCCCCTTTCTCCTCCCTTTTCAAGCGAGTGGCCAAGAAAAGTAGCAGAGATTCTCTTTGGAAGTTTCATAGTTTTAGAAAATAACCTTTATCCTCCGAGAATTCTTGAAGAACTATCCTAACTAGCTAAGAACCAAGTAGCTAAACAGGGAAGTTCCTACTACTTTTTTTTGTCTGTCCATAGCTAGTATTTTGAAAAAATTGACTAAAAATCCGAAATAATCTAAATACTTGTTCTAAAAAAAAATACAATATACGAGCTCACCAAAGTCACTGGGAATAACAGAGAGAAAAGAGTCTCTACTGTTTGTAGTCACTAGGGTAGATTACACACTTATCTTATTCACCCCTCAGCTAATAAGTGGACCGACTATAAATATCTAGTCAGCTCGGCTAATCCGTGGAAGCTTCCCGCGAAGCTAATCCCCGAAAAGGTGGTGGTAATTTCCTTGACCTCATTGCACTGAAAGCACTTTACCAAAACCAACAACACAAACACGTCGAAATCGAACCTTTCCAAACTTCAATCCACTCTCCCAGACTGACCCAGAAACGCTGGCTCAGTCGACTCCCGAATCAAAGTTTCCGTAACTCAATTTTATGCAATCAGAGCCTATCGAAATCTCCCCCATTTCCACCAACGTCAACACCTCAGCGACCTCCAACACCTCCCAATATGGCATCCTTCCTCAAGACCTGCACCTTGCAGACCAGCCCGTCCCTCGCGATGAGGAACGTTCTGGCTCTTCAACTTCGCGATCCCCAAGCCAAGGTGGCGCGTCCAGCACCGCTGACGCGATTGTGCAAGCTGAATTCAGGCGATTGAACTTGAGCGATAAGAGTACCGACAGGCCCAAGCCTTCATATGAACAAATCTCTGAGTACGAAAATGCATTGTCGCATTCTCCAGCCAGAAAAGACAGCGACGGGCCTGCTTTCAAGGTTGTTGTGAAGAAGGGCAACTCCATTGATGGACCACAACTAAATGAGTTTCCAAATGGTTCGTACTGTCTCTTTCCGGCAGGCAAAAACTGGAACTTGTATGCTAACAACACGCAGAGGTTCTGACCCACATTCTGTCACATCTGCCAGCAGCTTCTCTTTCTGCCGTTTCCCTCGTCTCCCAGAGATTCTACAGCCTCGTTACCACCCCCCATGCCTGGCGCATCGCGTTTTCTCGATTCTTTCCTGGCCAGGATGCGTTGGAAGGACAGATCAAGATCACTCGTAGCGGTATTGACTTGGAGCCTCGAGAGCAGATTCGCTCCGAACAACGAGTCTTCACTCGACTAACAGGTCTTGCGTCCTGGAGAAGCGAATATATTCTGCGCACACGGCTTCTCCGAAGTCTGGCACGAGGAAAACCTACTCAAATTGCCCCTGGCCATGGTGCTTCTTCGCGCTCCAATAGCGCTGCCAATAATGCCAATGCGGTAGTCACCTACAGTTCCCAGCTTTTTGCGACTGTGAACCATATCCATGCAACTTGGAACAAGGGCAAGAAGTCACCACGTTTTATTCATGGCACTGATGAGACGGGCAGTGCATGTACTAGTGATCCGAATATTGGCAAAATCGATAATTGGGGACTCTCCGATCCTCAAGCACTACCTCAATTCGCCGATTTGTTTGTTGGGGACGGACAATACGGACTCGGTGATGGCCCTGCAGGCGTTCCCAACTCGATGAATGTCAGCCAACCTTTTGGCATGATTTACGGAGAAGGGTTTCCTGGAGGGCAAACATATTTCAGATCTTCTGAGGAAATGCGTGGGCGCTTCATCAGTCAGCCAAATGATATCATCGATCATAAACATGGGATTCCCACAATTCCTTCTATGAGTGAGGCTATCTCTGCTGTGTGGATTGCCAAATCAAGTGATGTCCCTACATGCACCGATGGTCTCGTTGGTATCCTGACCGGTTCCACTTTGGGGGTTGTTACTGCTTACTCTCTTGGTGCTGACACTCCTCATGGACGACGAATTGCAAAGGGCCATATGACAGCAAAATGGGTTCTGAGTCCTGGCGTACCCATCATCTCTATCAAAGTAGATGATTCGTACAATCCAAATCGTAAGCTATCTGAGCGCATCTGGGTGGTCGCCCTGAATGCTTTGGGCGAAGTTTTCTACCTCACCAAGTCATTGAAATCACATCTTCTAGATCCTAAGGCCGAGGAGGCTAGTGGTGGTAAAAATGCATGGGCTGCCGGACGTTCTGCCTATTGGAAACTCGTCGAGCCTTCTCGCCGTGTGGCAAGAGAAGACCCATATGATGTCTCTGAGATACCTGGCAGCTACTCGCCGAGATCATCATCAAAGTCCATGCATCTATCCAAAGCACAGATTATTGCAGAGACCTTGGAGATTGAGAGATATCTGGCTTATTCGCCATCTCATTATCGAAAGATCTGCCATGGCTGGGATATGCGTAGAAGACTAGAAGTCGACTTCGCTGGTGATGATAGCAAAGGAGCTGGAGAGGCAATTGTGGTTATCAACTGCGGAATCGAGGAAGGTCAAACTCCCGAGATCAAGAGATTCACAAGATGGACAATAGAGCAGGCTTCCCTTGCAGAATATCCTGAGCCCAAGACTCCTCCAAATCCTGGCAGGAAATTTAGCATGGCCTCCCTTTTTGGGGGTGGCAATATGACCACTCCTCCACGAATCTCATCCCCGGACATATCCCAAGAGAACTCTGCAATAGCAAGCTCCATGGAGAGCCCATCCAGCACGCCTTCGATTCCTAGCACCCCTTCCTCACGCATGGCTTCAACTGACCTCGTTGAGGAATGGCGAACTACTGTTTTGTCACTGAGGAACCATCCTAGCGAGGAAATCACAACAAGCGCCATCGATATGTCTATATATGCTGTGGTGACTGTCAACGAAGATCCACTTCGGACTGTCAATGGAAACTCGGAGTTTTCTTCTCCGTTTGGTACACCAAGGTATTCCGAGTCTGGCGGAGCTCAAATACCAGGTCACAGAGCACGCTTCTTAGCTGTCGGGACAAAGACGGGAGTTATCCAGCTGTGGAATATGAGAGGTTCTCAATCATCAAAATCAGCTCTGGTCAATGAGTTGCAGCCTCTTCGAACCATATATACAGACTCGCCACAAATATCTTGCCTTGCTGTTTCTGCGCTTTACCTTGTCCACGGTGGTAATGATGGTCTTGTTCAAGCATGGGATCCTTTGGCCTCAAATATGCAGCCTGTCAGAACCCTCAATTCGAGATTTTCCTCTCGAGCCCGGCGTCGCTTGGTCCAGGCTGAAGCATCAACTCTTGGTGTCGGCATCAATTTGTATGCCGCTGGAGCAATAGCTTTAGATCCGGATCCAACGGTTTTACGCGGAATGGTTTCTCTGGGAACACATCTTCGTTACTGGTCTTACAGCTCGTCTGCGGCGGATCAATACCAGAGCAAGAAGCGTCGTCTCCGTCGCTCAAATGAGCGTGGTAGCAACTCCGGGCCCGATCGCTTCACTAATACTGGTAGAGGTGCTTTGATGGACTACATTGCTACGGAACAGGAAGAACTCAAGAAGGAGAAGCTCAGACGTGCCAGAGAAGAAGCTAGACTTGCTGGCAGATTCGGAGTGGGATTGGGCGGACTTAGCGAGGAAGAAGCCATCAGATATGCAGAAATGGTCTCTGCAGAGGCATTTCAAAAAGAACAAGAACAACGTATCAGCACAAATGATAATGGCTACATATCTAATAACGATACCCACCACAAGTCTGTCTGGAGCAGCAGTGAGACTGCCACTCCCGAAGGAAGTGTCGTTGAACGATCAACGGTCTCCCCGAAATTGAAAAATGACGACGAGCTTGAACAAGACATTGAAGAAGCAATTCGTCTTTCGCTCCTAGATGGCGTTGATGAAGGTGGTAGTCCGCCTCGAGCCTCCGGTTCCAGCGGTTACGAGATTCCTATTACCTACAAAGCGAAGAAGACTCGTCGTTCTCCTTCCACTTCGCCTTCCGCTAGCAAAACTCGCGGTAAGGCGAGATCCTCTCGGAGTCAAGCCGATACACTCGTTGCAGCTGATGATCTGGATTATGCTCTTCAGTTGAGCTTGGCCGAGGCTAGAAGCCAGGGATTGGAGAGTGAGGGAAGAGATGAGGGTGGTGATGAGTATCCTACTCTTTCCAGCCCAGCTGCGAAGGGAAAGGGAAAGGGGAGAGCTTGGCAGTGATGGAAGGCAGGAGTGGAGAGTTGATGTGCGTTAGACTCGGGGATGATTAGATGAGTGATCCGTTCCAGCCAGTGGGACGTTTTGCTCTCCTGGCTTTGCTTGGTTGTTTTCTGCTTTTCTTTTTTCCGGTATGCCTAGTTAGGCATGCTCTAATACCTTTTTTTACTTTGTACGTAGATAGGCAATTGTCTAGCTCACAAACTGCGATGGTTCTTTTCCCGCTTTCTTTTGACGAGTATGCTCTGCGTGATGAAAAGTCGTGATTTCCTGCTCTCTTACTATTGTAGACCATTCCCCACAGCCCCCTTATGTTTTCCTAGAGAAAGTGGCCTTGTGAGACCAAAGCTTTCACGGTATCTAATATCTAGGACACTCCATCTGCAAACAGACTTTACACTGTAGGAATTGACTTGTAAGAAAGGAGAAGGTGAAGATGGGAGATACCGTATGTACAGTACTCCTTTCTAAATTATTGTTACAGTATCTCATTTGGGCTCTATTATTTATAAAACAAGCTACCTACCTACCTATCGACCTAGTTCCTTACTTACTGCTTCCTATAGCAGCCTGAGAAATTGAGATGTAATCCCCTCTTACTGCGATGATTATAGTAATAAACCTGTAAGATCTTATAACTCTAAGCTATTTAGATTAGATGACTTCTTTTCTCTCTCTCTTTCCTATTTCCTCTTTCTTTCCTCTTTCTTAACTGTACTGTATTCGCGGGGAGATTATAGTACTATATTATAATATTATTGTATCCTTTATTATTAGAGTTGCAGGGAAGAATGTAGTTGTGGTTATAGTTGTAATTGTAGTTTTAAGGAGATGGAAGGGGAGAAGAGATGCAGGGGAGATTGGTGGGCAGGTAGGTAGATTATTGTATATATATAGGTGTAGAAGTTATACAAGGTGTGATGTCTAGACAGTAGACTAGGTCTTCTTTTATTACGAGAGAAAGTTGGGGGGGGAACTATATACTTGGAGGTTAAGTCCGGAGTTTAAATCTTGGATCTAGAATCTTGAATTGCTCATCTATTCCAAGAAAAAGAGTCACAAAAAAACCAAAAAAAAACTTACTATACCTGCCCTGTCGAATCTGTCCCGTCTCCCCTTAACATTATTATACCCAACAAGGAAATCGAGAAGAAAACCACAAGTCACGGACGGCATCAAGCAAATTAAACTAGGCATTACATTGCCTTCTTTCTACCCTCGTAACGTCTCATATCATAACACGGAGCCCGAAAACTCCCTCGAAAATCTGTCTGCCTATGTACCGTAATTAATACATCTCTGCTCCCACCAGTCCAGTCCCGTCCAGTCCAGGCAGAGTCAAAGAAGAAATCAACTTCATAAGAGCACACATTCCATTCCCTAGAATATCGCTCCCAATCTCAATTCAGAGCATCCATCTCCACCCAATGGTTGTTTTTACACAAAGAAACACCTCTTTTCCAGATGATATAACAATCGCTATCCTGCGCCTGCGAATGAACGCCTTCCTGTGAATTGTAAAAGGGGAAAAACAGAAATAACGTGAGGTATCTAAACGAAAGATCCCATCTTCGCCCACTCTATGAAAGTCACATAAACGCCATCTTTCTCATCGTATATTTTAGTACAAGGCACCGCTAACCTTCTCTCTCTTGGAAGATTCTCCGCCCATTTGCGTGGACATCTTGCGCTTCTTGGAAGACACAAAGACAATGTCGTCGTCGATTGTAATTGGAGTGTTGATGCCATTGCTCTCCGTAGTAGTCGTAGCATCAGTCAACGATCCAGGAGGGGTGACCGATTCTCTTTCTCCAACAAACTTGCTTTCGTATTCCTCTGAAATCTTGTGCGCAATCTCATTACATAAAGCTTTATCCTTAGGAACTTGCTTGAAGTGATCTGTACACGCTGCACACTGAATATAGAAGGCTTGAGTCATCTCAGGGTAATTGAGAAGCTCATATTCGGGGAGGTTGTCACCAATGAGTGTGGTATTCTCAAAATCAATGCAATCCTCGCAATACGCGTGCTCGCACCAACGACAGCGATACAACATTCCACCAGCATCTGTAGTCTTTTGCGTGCAATCATAACACTGATGTTGTGGACAATTGAATTGCCATCCCTTGGCTTTTTGCTGGAATTCCTTGTCAAGGCAATGAAGGTGGTATGCTCGAGGACATAATTGGCAACAATGCAATTCTCCTCCGTCAGTGCAAACTTGACAATGACTTTGTGGCTCGATGGGTGCTTTCTTCTCGCGCTGTGGCTCCTTGTAGATAGGATTCTTGTCACCTATTGTGGGCACAGCCTCCCATTGCTTGCAGTTCATCGATTCCTTGGAAACAGCAAAACCATCAACCATGACCGTGGTGTTCTTATCCTTTCGGCGCTCTGCTCTGTCAAACTCTTCTGATATATCTTTGTTAGAGCTGTATTTGGTGCGAGCCAATTTCTTGCCAGCAAAGACAGATGATTCCACCCGCTCCATCTCAGTCAACCATTTCCGCTCAGCTTCTTCATCAACCTTAGCATCGGGGATGACATCTTTTTTGACATTGAAATCGGCAGGCTGATCTTTGCACTTCGACACTGTAGTATCCCAATCCCTGAAAATGTTAGCAAATAACCATGTACAATGAGCTATACTTTGACATACCAGCTCAACATCTCGTTGACATCAATTTCCGGCCGAGATATTGCAGAAGCACCACGTCTTACCAAAGTCATAAGCTGACCGGTACTTAATTGAGGCATATTTTCGTCGATTTCAGATGGTCTTCCTTTCTTACTCTTCTTGCCACCGCCAAATTTGGTGTGAATATCTTGCATGGCCTCGGTGACTTTTGCAGAAAGGTAGAGCTTCTTCTGGATCCGACCCATCATTTGTTCTTCGACCGTGCCTTGCGAAACAAGTTTGTAGATCGTGACGGGATTCTTCTGACCAATTCTGTGTGCTCTAGCCTCAGCCTGTAGGGTGATTTGTGGATTCCAGTCTTGATCAAGGAGTACAACATCAGACGCAGTTGCCAAATTGATACCTAGTCCACCAGCACGGGTAGAAATCATCATTACTCTGTAGTCACTTGTCAAGTCGTTGAACATCCGAATGCCGAGGTTTCGACGTGCTCGAGCGGTAGAGCCATCGATTCGTACCGAGCGGTAGCTTGAGCCATCCCCTCCTCTAAGCAACAAAAGTTCTTCGACCAAGTCCAACATTTTAGTAAATCCTGAAAATATCAAAATCTTCTTCTTTTGCTTAATTACCAACTCATTCAAAAGCTTTTCGAGAATGATGAATTTTCCAGAAGCATGAATAACGTGATCTCCCGAATGGTATGGATCAGGCTCTGCGTGGGATATTTGATATGGGTGATTGCAAACCTTGCGGAGTTGCATCAATAGATTCATCAACTTTTGCCACGCAGATTTGCTCTTGCCTTCCGCCTGAACTTCTGCTTCGCGTTGAACAGTCTGTTCGAGAATGTCCTTGGTCTCCTTCCATGCATCCGTCCCCATCATTTCAGTGTCTTCGAATACTTTGAGGGCATTCTCCTCGATCTTCATGACTTCGGCATCTCGAAGTGCTTCCTCGGCAGAAGCCTTTATAGCAACTGCTTCTTTTTCTTTCGTACCCTTGAAAAGCTCATCCAAAAGGCCTTGGTCAGCTTTGGTGATCATGCGTTCATACCAGAAGCGCTGCATTGGACTCAATGGCACAAACAATAATACTTCAGTCTTTGGTGGAAGATTTAAGTCAACTCCAGGTGAGGTTTTCATTCTTCGTAGCATGATCAACTCTAGCAAACGTCTGGAACTATCAAGAACTGTGTTGAGATAGTGACCCTTTGACAGGTTGAACGAGTTATCGAAGAGCTCATTTGTGTTCTCGCTGAAAACTTCTGGATAGAGCCAATGCAAGAGACTCCAAAGCTCAGATAGGTTATTTTGTAGCGGGGTTCCAGTCAAAATTAAGCGATACTCAGCCTTCAAACCCTGCAGGGATTTTGAAACAAGACTTTGATGGTTCTTGACAGTATGACCTTCATCCAAAACAGCGTAACGCCAGACGAACGCCTTCTTGAACCAAGCTTGCTCGATGCGAAAGCAGTCATAGGTCGTGACCACTAAGTCGACTCCAATATCTTCTTCGTCATCGGAATCGGTATCCAGCAAAACAACTTGTTTTCCGGCAGCGTTTCGCTTCGACTTGAACTTGGCTTTGGCCTGCGCAGTCATGTTTCCAAACATATCGATTTCTCCCATGACCATCTTCTTCAACTTATTGCGCTCGTTGACGGGACCATGGAATCGGACAACCTTGAGGCCTGGTGTCCATTTCTTGGCTTCGGCCATCCAACTGCTTAAAACAGACAGAGGACAAACGACTAGAAATGGTCTTTGCAACCTACCAGTTCCTGCCTTTGGATCATTCTCCTTGATGTATTGAATAAGTGACAGAGTTTGTAGAGTCTTGCCCAGACCCATTTCATCACCTAGGATTCCAGAGAGACCCTGGCATACTATTAGACTAAAAACACGAGCAAGGTTGGGTACAACTTACATTGTGATGCAGATAAACCATAAAGCTGAGACCTGACAACTGATATGGCTTCATCGTGGCCTTGACACCTTCTGGTTGAGTGGCGATCTCACTGTATGGTGTGATTTTAGGGAGCTTGTCCAAATCCTCTGGGGAGAGCTGCTTATGTTTCTCAAGCAACTTTCGCACATAGTTGTTGGGCGGAAGCAATGGAAGCAAAAAGTCCTTTTTTTCAACGAAGAACCTATTTCGATTTGCCGCGGTCTTGCTAGCAATCTCCTGCCGGATGGCTACTCTCTGGCTGACAACTGGGGTGAGGTTAAATTGGTCGACACCGATCAGATCTGCAATCGCATTCTTTTTGGGTGTTTTCTTCGCTCGCGATCGATTGTTTCGTGGTGTCTCGATGTTCTCCAGAGCCTTGAGCGACATGTTGGGTTTTCGAGTTCGCAGACGACGACCGGTTGTATATTCAATCACATCGTCACTTTCCTCCTTTGCAGCAGAGGTGGTGATTGGGACGACATACTGAGGCTGTTGAGGAGTGGCTAAGGGTTTGTTCATCGGTGACATTTCCGGATCGGGGTATGATAGGGATGAGATCGATCTCTGAGCGACGGGAGAATCGCCTTTCTGGGAGTCTTTCTTGTGTTCAACGGTTGCGCCAGGAAGGAACTTGGCCAGAAGGCTGGAGGCGTTACTGCGACGGGGAGTTTGGGAAGAGGCAGAAGCGGACGATTGAGGAGAGATCGTGTCTTCGTTAGCACCCAGTGACGGCGCTGCTGGTGTATTTGGGGCGTTCATATTGAAATGTAAGGGAGCAGAATTCACACTTCTGAGGAATGATGTTGCGCAAATCCTCGGGACGGTGTGCCAGTGCAAAGGAAAAGAAGCTTAAAGAGAGTCCATGAATGAAAGATCGATCCGAGACTCGAGGGAGCGCGGACGAGGGCGAAGGTGAGGGCGCGAAGGGGAAAGTGAAGGTGAAAGGGGGGTTTTCTATAGTGGTAAGCGCAATTGAAAGATAGTGGTGGTGGTGCCGTTGGGTTGCGTTGGACGCGAAGCGCAATCGCGTCGGGATTTTTTGAGGGACGAGGGGACCTCCAGCTGGGTGCTGTCTTTACAGTACCTGGTAGCGTCACCCTGCGACACAGTAACCGCACAAGCACTACTAGTGTGCGAATGTACTAGCCTACTAGCCTACTAATGTATTAGTATACTAGTTACTAGTCTACTTGTAAAGGTACAAGTAGTAGAAATTATTGCTTTCCTCTTCTGGTTGGAAAATAGTTGTCTGACTTGAAGAAGCTCCTTATCGCAATACCTAGGTATTTGTACTCCGTACTCAAGTATCATTGCTTCCTATTCAACTGCGAGCTCGGCCCGACTATTCCCCGACCTTCTCCCAACCCTGCAGGCGCGTCTCCCATCTTCTTGAAGCTTCTAACTACCTATGAAGGTTGTCAATCACATTGTCGAGTATGCCTTTATACTATCCCATCACGATTGTCCGATCAGACGGTCTTTTCGCCGTCCCCACCAGATCTGGAACCAGTGAGCCCAATGAGCCCACCGCCGCTCAGCAAGATGATACGCCCGACTCCAAAGGTATGGTGGATTGCTACAAGAGACTGGACCCTGAGGAACCAAAAGCAGTCGATTGGAGACGGAAGCTAGGTGGCATGCTGATGCACCGACTTGGTGGAAAGGAACATCTTAGTAATTCTTTCCCCGATGCCCCTCTTCCTTTGCAAGCACTGAAACTAATACCATCCCAGACAAAAGCTATATCCTCGCCGAAATCCCAGAAGGGTACGTGCTATGGGAGCATCTGAAGTACAATGTGGATAAGGTTAATGGCGACAAATCAAAGGAAAAGGGCAAACACGCAGCAGGAGTCTTTGAGAGGCAGGATGCATACCTCTACGGACACCCACAAGGTCGAAAGAAGCGTTATAGAAGTCCAGCGGATTTCTTCCATCATCTGCTCTGGCTGGCCGTAGACAAAGAAGGCGATCCGAGGAATTGCTCATGCAAAATTTGCTCGCCTGATGAGGTCGCCGAGGAAAGTGTGAAGGCTACATCGCAGCTGAAGAATGAAATCAAGCCCGTTCCTGCTCCTACCACATCAGCTGTGACAATAAAACGTAAGGGACCCTGCTAATGTTTACTTTCTTTGATACTAATATTCTCGTCAGCTTTACCACAATCGCAATCTACTCCCGCTGCTTCCAAACCTCCACCAAATAATATACAGAAAGCAACCTCACAACCAAACCCTACAGCTTCGACATTTATTTCGGCCGAGCAGAGAGCAGACGGTGCTGCTAATGGACAGTACTTATACAGATCCGGGGAATTGGTGTGGTTCAACAATGGATTGAACTGGCGGTTGGGCATAATTTCGAGGCGCCAAATACAGAATAACAAACCCCGCTATCTTCTTCAGCCTCTCTCAAATCCCTACCAACACCAACCTTGGCAAATCAAGGATGATGAAGCATCTATCAGACCTTGGCTGGCATGGAGCGTCCCACTTACCACGGTACCTGCAATACAAGAACTGACTTATGATCAAGTCCCATGGGAACGAGTTCTAAGAGGAGAGCTGGATGCTGGTCATTCACGAGACTACGTCGTTGATGGCAGTATTCTTGCTGCAAAGGTCGTTGATTCCAGTTACTCACTTTACGACCGAATTGAAAATGCTTTGGCAGGTCCAGGAGAAGTGCATTACCGAGGAATGTTTTTAGGTGCCGAAAAGATTTGGGTAGGCGAGCCAATTCGACTACGAGGAAGTGACAGCAAAGATATCGTTGTGCTCATTGTTCATAAATTAATTGAGCGCACGACCCCACAAGGCATTTCGTCGGTGACATTCGTTGGCGATGTTTACAAATGGGTCGAAATGCCCACTCCATACAGGAATCGAGCGGATTGGCCTACACCAGATCTACCTGCCCGTATGGTAGCGGATCTTCGGTTTAGAAACGAAGTTGCTGACCAAGCTGGCACGGGCATATATTGCGAATGGCGTTTACTAGAACCAGCGGTTCGCAAAAGCCTAACAGACGTAAAAGGTCGATGGTACGAAACGCGAACACTCCTTCCCATCCTTCGAGGAGCAGCAGCCTTCCAGGCCGAACTCGTCAAGGGTCGTACTCACGATGCGGGACAATTCATGAACGGTCGACGGGATAAGAATAACAACGTCGAGACACGCAAGAAGAATCGTAGGGACACTTTGGGGAGAGCCGTACCGGCTGACTTCAAGGTATCAAGGGGGTTGGATGGTCCCGAAGCTGATTTGGCGTTCCCTGATATTCAGCAGCCGCCGCCCGCCGCGGCGGAATTGACGCCGTATGTGGAGTCGGATATTGACCAATTTATGGATTTGGATCAGGCTGCTACTGGGGGACATCATGAATTTTATGGTGGGGTTTAGGACCTTGATTAGAGTAATGTGCAGATCTGATAGGGGCTTGGGGCGTTATTTGGGAGTCGGGGTTCTCTGAAAGCTACAAGGATGTTTGATATTCTTGTTGTGGTTGTTACATCTGGGCCTGTTTCTGTTTTTTTCTCTTTACTTTTTCGGTGAATGTAGATACCCAGACCTTTTTGCTTTCTTTATGGCTGCATGTTTGCTTTGCGGGAATGGTAAAATGTTGGGGGGAGAGTTGCGATACTGAGTCCTGGTGTTGTGTGTGTATTGCCTTTATGGGATGACTAGGTCCGCTAGCAAGCAGCCTTTCAAATTTAATCCTATTGTATTGTATGATCGAATAGTGTGTGAGGTTTCTGGATCTCTGTTGATGAGATGGAGGGAATGACGCTGTGGTTGATGAGGGGTGGCGGATTCTTTATGAGGGTTCTGTGATTTGGGGAAATATTGATACTCTACTGTGGATGTGCATCGCTGCTTTCGTCTTCTTTGTCGTAATAAGCGAGGTGGGAAGGGGTGGTGCGAGGATAGATGAAGTGGACTGCGGATCTCGCTTATTGTTAGTAGTGAAGCTGCAAAGACTTAGCGCATAGAGCCTCGGGAGCCCGGTAATCAATGGGATGAAATGGACGAAGCATGCAGAGAGAAATTGCGGTTTTGAGCTAACATGAAGTTGTGGCATCTCTCTATTCGTGGAGTGACCAAGTATTCTAACAATAAAACAACATTTCCAATTCCGTATCTAAGCAGGAGGACCTGAAGTCCATCCTCTTAGATCAGAAGTCAAGAGATTCTTCGCCTTGATCTCCTCAGCTCTGGCCTTCAACCCATCTACGTCCCAATTGGCAAACACAAACCGTCCGCGCAAAAACTCCGATTCGGGAGTCGCTAACCAAACAGCAAAGCCTCCAGGGAGTTCTAAATGAAAAATCAGCATCAACTTGTTGCCAGACACGAATTAGCAGGATATCACTTACCAGCTTCGTCGATGTTCTCAGGAGGAAACTTCGACCTAACGAAAATATCAGTGAGGATCTGTCCGGGCTGAAGGTTGAAAACCCGCAGCTCCGGTCTCTCATGCTGAAGATATTCGACGAATTTCAGTCCGGAAGCCTTCGAGGAGGCGTAAACCGAGATTTTGGGAACGTGAGGGAAAAAGGCTGCCGCGGAAGAAATATTGATGAACGTAGCTCCTGGCTTGGAGACCTTAAGGAAGGCGAGAGTTGTGATGATGAGACCTTTGATGTTGACTTCAATGCCTTCCCATAGCTCCTCAACACCATAATCGGCGATCGCCTTGCCTGTTTCGAAGAAGGCCGCGTTGGCGACGCAGACATCAATCTTTCCATGATCTGCAATGGCCGAGGTGAAAGCCTTGTTGACTGCTGCCTCATTCAGGATATCAGCTACGGCGTATGTAACTTTAGTTTTGCCGTTGCCGAGTTTGGTGAGTTCCTCAGCAGCGGATTTCAGGACGGCTTCTCGACGTCCGATGATAACTACTCCAGCAGCTCCTGCTTTTATGAAGCCCTCTCCTATTGCTTTGCCAATTCCGGTTCCACCACCGGTGATGAAAACCACTTTTCCTGTTTGGGCGAGAAGGGGGTTGGTTGGCTCAATGGCTGGGTAAAGACGTTGGTGCCATTCTTTGGTAAACGAGGCGTCGAAATCAACGACAACCATCTTTTATGATTTGGGTTGTTTTGGTGAGCTTTCAAGGTGTTTTCGCTTGAGGGGTGGGAATCTCAATCTAGTTGCAAGATAGATGCTTAAGCTTTTGATTAGATGAGAGAATACGGGAACGATAAAAGCGCGATACCTCTCACTCTTATATACACCTCAATTGGCTCTCCACGAGAAATTTGAATTTTAACAATGCACATTATGTAGTTCTAAGTCCTGCTCGAACCCCGCAATGGTACTGGCGACAGTCCTTCCGCCGTTAGTTGCTTATGTCGATGCCCCGCAAACGCAGGTGCCGAATAGAGGTCACTACACAGGGCTTAGTCGTCAGAAAGCACTTTCACTTCCATTCGGAACGTTTTCTGAGCTCTGAAGTCTCTTGGGAAGGTTTGCCAAGGACAACAATGGGGTGCCCCTTGGTATGGCCAAGCCTAAAGAGCTGCTCTCGGCGAACTTGATGTTAAGTCTTGACGAGAAGTTTGATTTCTAATGATATCGGTTGTGAGGGGTAGGAGGGAATTATGCAAGATATTCCACGATCTTATAGTTCCTCTATGGCCCTATAGATGGCCCGCGGTCATGTTAATTGCTAATATTAGGCTCTTTAATTCACATCTTCTTCAACATTACTTTAGCTCTTGAACCGTGGGACTCTCACTAAGGTAAGATACGAGTACGTACATCTCACAGAATCTTTGGAGTTCCATAAACCCACTTGAAGCCCCGAGTCGCGACAGGGCTATCTCCGCCGTCGACGGCAACGCTCAGCGTCATATTCAATGCCATGACAAATCTCTCAAACGAAGTGTTTTTATTCCATTTGAAAGGATACCTAGGAGTATTTCATAATCCCACAAAGGTTCCACGACATTCCATTGAAAATATCGCCATAGCACCTCCACATATACCCCTGGGTCGAATGCCTTCGAGAGTAGGATTACCGAACGAGATCTCAATGCAACGAAGCAAGGAAGGGATTAATGCTAACATAGCGGAGTACGGGAAAAATTAGTCAAGGGGTGGTTGTATTGTACATGATTGATTGTCATCCACGTCCTTTCAACTCCTGCTCTCTCATTGGTTAAAACGCAAGTTTATATCCTTGTCGCTTCTAAGGACTTGCAGAATTCGAAAGGCTATCCGCTTAACACCAGGTCTGGAAGAAGTCCAATAGATCAGAATTCTGATATTCATGGACTTAAGTTCCCGATACTAGGTATCGATTGAAAATCAAACTCGCACATTGGAGGCTTCCTAGTGTAGATGGTACTTATTTATAGGAGATATCTGCATACAAAAGTGCTCATTTACTAATGCACAAAGCATTAACGTGGTTTATCAGCGAGTCGATCATATCACCGAGTCGATCACTTTTTCTTGGCACAGAACTTTACACCTAAATAAATCAACCACAATATATTAAATTAATTATCGCTCTCTATATCTGACGAACTAGATATATCTATAACTTCTTGACAAGTTCGCGCGTTATGACCAGCTTTTCCACAAGTTCTACAGCGCCGCCTAGAAGGTTGCCCCTCCTTATAACCAACCCCCGCCTCACGCATGTCGCGTCGTACTTGCTCATCTACATCCTCCTGAGCTAACATATCCCGTACATCCTCTACTATAAGTGCCCCTCCTTGGCGGACACGAGTCTTTTTAGCCCTACGGCGTTTACTTAGGGCTTCATTTGCAGCGCGAAGGGTACGGACCTCAGCAGACAAAAGGGTCATCTCATGTGCCATTCGCTCTGTACCCTTTGCTAACGCAGCAACTGTTTGAAAAAGTGGAGTTGGCGAGCTTCCTTGATGACAGGCTATACGATTTCGTACAAGAGTTGATTGTGAAAGGGCTTCAGTTGGGTTGGAAGGGGTCTGGGACACCCAGGGGAGGGAGTTGGCACTACACGTCCGAGGGGGAGTTGGAGTCCGTAACCTTACGTCAAGCTTTGAAAGCACTGCTTGCGGGTTAAATGGTACTAGGCCAGCTCCGCGGAATCCAGACTGACAGTTTAGGACTGTCATTGTTTCCTTGTATGCTGCTGTAAAGGCTAGAAAGAACTCAACCTTTGTAATATGGTTGATATGGGCCTTGATAAACGTCTCAATCTGCCGACCATACGCTCGTTTTAACACACTATAGCACCCAACATCAAGTGGCTGGGTTAGATGGGATGAATGAGGAGGTAGTCCAAGAGTAATAATGTTGTGTTTCGTACAGTAGTCTTGGAACTCAGCCGATTCATGACTCTCGTGCCCATCCAAAACTAGTATTCGATACAGACCCTTTGCACGAGCTGTAGTGTGTTTATCAAAGTGCTTTAACCATTCCAGGCCTGTTTCATTATTTGTCCAACCATTGCTTGTCGGTTTCATAACCCAGTTAGGTGGGAGGCCGCCGTCGGTATACCAGTTGGAGAGATGGTTCTTGCCCTGAACTACCAAGAATGGAGGAATACTCCAGCCCTCCCCATTAATACAGGCAATTGCTGTAGCCCATTCCCGATTGCCTGGCTGAACTGCCTTGCCTCTACCACGTCGGTCTGCACGAGTAACAACCATTCTAGGACAAATAACACCCATCATAAAGCCTGTCTCGTCGAAGTTGTAGAAGTCGGAGTCTGTAACCCCATATTTCGCCCTCATATTCTCTACTAGCCGGAACCATGCGCCTAGCACGTCAGGATCTTCGCATAAGGCCCTCTGGAAGTCGTAAACGCGATTAAAACGCGTCTTAAGGTCTGGTTGTCGTTGTACGAATCGATGGGCCCAGAGCTTGCCGACGCGTCTTCCCCCCCGCGATTCAAGGATAAAATTAGCCATATCTTCTACACCAGCGAGCCGGGGCGCAAATCCTCTGGAATCCATATCCAGTATATACCGAATAATCACTTCCTCTTCTAACTCAGTCAACTTATGACAATTGGCTTGAGAATCTGGGCGGTAGGTTCGGCCAGCCATTCTGTCGGAAAGAGTCGTATATGGTACATTGTAGATCTTTGCCGCAGAGCGTTTGCTTAGTTTTTTGGACGACCGAATAGCCTCGATAGCTAGAGTAATTCGCGCTTCTTGAGTTTGAATTTCCATGGTAAATAGTTGAAGAAAACGTGTGTTGAAGTTTGAGGAGGTAGTGCCAAGGAAAAGTGATCGACTCGGTGATATGATCGACTCGCTGATAAACCACGTTAAACGTTTATTTTGTTTTATCTCTTCTCTTATACCAGGCCTGTTTTAGTGAATAACTGCTCAGACCATCTTGACTGGTTCAAGAGAGCAATTGAAAGTAGTCATGACCAGAAATATGTTCTCAAGCATCTTGCTGCTTGAAACGTACAAAAGAACTTTCTAACTCATATTACAAACAACATAACGCCCTTGAGGGGTGTGAGTCAGGAGCTCTATTTCCCCCAGTCTTTTGGCTTAGGTTTTAATAGGCTCAATTTGATTCCCCTTCTTCAACTGGTACTTTTTTTGCTACTATGTAGTAAAACTCGTCCTTTGAAGGAATGGTGATTCTGATTCATGGAGACCTCTTTTCAAATACCCTCCCCTATGCTCACTCCCAATTAAAACAAAAGAAGTGCTTAATGTCTTTCAGACACAAAATTGAGAATCATTTTACCAAAAGTCATATGTATACTCGTATATACGTTTTAGTCATTCCATAGACTTTGAAGTTCCCTAATATTCAATACACAAGAGTAAAACTTGAAAACAGTGGATATTCTTCTAATTGATCTATTTAAGAAATTGAGAGGTCAGTTGATCTGTTTAATCCAAATTTTGAAGTCGTTAACAGTAACTATCCGTTACTTCAGATCACCTGAGTAGTTTCTGGTTATAGACATTTGTAAAAATAAATTTGTTACCTTGTACAGTGTAAAGAAAGACAATCAAGGCAATAAATATTATACTTATTATCGTAATTGAGCTCATGCTTTATCATTAGTTCAGACATAACTAACTCAATATCCTAGAACAGGGAAAGGCGTTTGTTTCAAAATATTAAGTCAAGTCAATTACTCGAAATTAATTTAGGAAGAGGGAAGTTTTCTGCCACATTACTATCCTGTCCGTTACGTCGGGCTCTCCTGACCATAATCCACAACCTAAACCTGCACTATTCTTGTCCCACGTAACAGGCGCAATATTCTATAAATGCTTTATTGACGCTTGTTCAACCTTTCTTTTGGACTAATATCCAGTTGTAGTCGAGGAAGTTGTACAAACCTTCTTTACTTTTTCCTGAAATGGAAGTGATGAAACGCAGGGGTGTCTGTATCACATGTCCAGAAATCTACTGAGACCTTACAGCCAATCAGAACAATAATCTTCTCGGACCTCAAAACCACTAACAACAAACCGTCACGTCCTTTTCGCCATATAACAACCCCTTACCCGCTCCCGTCAAAGTCTTTCCCCCCAATAACTTTCATCCCATCTTCTCTCGTCTCATCCCAACTCAAAAATGAAGATCCACCTCCCAACGGCTATTCTCGCATGCCTCCCTTTCTCAACTGCGTGGGGGTCTTTGGGCCATACAACTGTAGCATATATAGCCTCGAACTTCGTCTCACCACCAACCACTCTACTGTTCCAATCCATTCTTTACAATGATACTGAACATTATCTCGCCAATATCGCAACGTGGGCTGATAGTTTTCGATATACGGCAGCGGGGAGATTTAGCGGACCGTTGCATTTTATTGATGCGAATGATGAACCGCCATTATACTGCGGTATAAAGATGGAGAGAGATTGTGCTACTGAGGGATGTATTATTGGAGCTGTGGCGAATTATGTAAGCTCTTCTTAGGATTTAAAAGGGGCGAAGGGGTTTGGTAATGGAAAGGTTGTGCTGACCATAATTTAGACGAGACAGTTACTTGACCCGAGTACGCCTACTGGAATGCGCAATATGGCTGCAAAGGTATGTGTATATATGGTATCCCCTAATTCTATGAAGCATGCTAACGAAACTAGTTTATTGTTCACGTGAGTTTCTCAAAAACTTTATCCAATTGTACTGTACCTATCCACCCACTCATATAGACAGTTGTATATGCTTCTTCTATAATGGCCATTTGGCTGAGACACAAGTGTTGTACTAATTACGTTAAATTTATCCATCACAAATTACCCTCCCTTCCACATTTCAATAGAGGCATTTCACGCCTATTTGTACTTTGCATGTCTTCTATGATGTGAAAACATGACTTACACCGACAGTTTCTCGGCGATATTCACGAACCACTGCACACTGAGGCGCTCCTACGAGGTGGTAACTCCATCCCCGTGCTCTTTGCAACCCACCTCACCAATCTTCATCATGTATGGGATACCTCCATCCCCGAAACTCACATTGGTGGCTACGGTCTCGCCTTCGCTCAAGCCTGGGCCACAAATCTTACAGACTTCATCCAAAACGGAATCTACAAGTCACAAGCTGAGAACGAATGGCTCAAAGGAATGTCTCTCGAAGACCCAGAAAGTAGTGCGTTGATTTGGGCTGGAGAGTCTAATGCCTATGTGTGTTCGACCGTATTGCCGGAGGGAAGAGAAGGCGTGGAGAATATGGAGTTGAGTGGTGAGTATTTTGAGGCTGCTGTTCCAGTTGTGGAGACTTTGGTTGCCAGAGCTGGGTATAGGTGAGAATCCCCGCCGTGTTGTCTAGAAAAGTTTGACTGATCCAGTATAGGCTTGAAAAGTGGTTGGATTTGATTGCTGTGAGGGCTGCCAGGACGGAATTGTAAATCAGTATGCAATAGAGGTTAGAACGAATCCTTTAGCCAATGCATTTTATATCTGGTCTGGAAGGGATAAAAGTTCCAATCACTAAAATTAACCAGATCTTTTTACGGGTGATGTTAATGCTTAGTTACTTTACAAACTTTTGGAAAAGGTGATGCTGCTGTATGGGTAGCAAGGGTGAAGATCATAAATCAACCTTCTGACAAAAGATCTCTACAGAGATTTGCAAGATCCGCATTTAAGAAATCTAATAATAAGTTACTGTAATATTCAGTGCGGCTTTCTCAATCGAACGTGAGGACAACCTTGGCCTGGAAGGGGAAGGGGCACGCACTGACTATTAGTCTTCTCCTATCGATGTCCCACGACAGAATTTCACTCCCCCAAGAGGGGAGTCTTTTCATTTTATGTTCTGTTTGAATTGAATGTTTCCACGTGGAACTGTTACAACTACTTTGCCTGTCCCACCCATGTGGTCGTACGTGCCTGGTGACTACCCCCAACTATCTCCAAGCTTCCTGCTACTTCTCGCGTATCATCTGACACGTTATCCCAGCCCAAGTCCTTCTTATCCTGATACGTCAACTCAATCACATCAGTCCTCGTAATGTCACTCTCGGTTCCCGATCCCTTTCCAATACGTCCATCACGTCCCGATTGTAACTTAGCGTGTCCAGACTTTTTGAAGTAGCCGTTACTTGGTTGTGTTGATTTCTTGCTTCCTATTGCACTTTTCCAGCTCTTGGGAATAAAGGCTGAGAGGATGGGAAGTGATGCTGCCACGACACCAAAGGTAAGGTCGATGAGAGTCCAGTTTTGCAAAGGAACGAAGTTGACTGTTGCTTGTTAGAAGAATGCTATCGATGTCCCACGAAGAGCGGATACTTACAAAGAATATCACCTTTGAGTCTCTCCTGCTCAACTTGTCGAACTACTGAACCAATTGCACTCATCCCTCCAATACTGAATACAAAAAACAGCCTTGCTTTCGTCATCCAGTTCATTTGTACTTTCCAAAGTACGATCAACGGGACTGAGAGTAAACCGAAATCCATGAGGGCGTGGATGACACTAAGTCCCGATCCCACGACATTGTCGCTAATGCACTGCGGTTTGTGTTTCAATTCTTTTGCTACACGGATGATGTTCCAGCCGGCGTATGGAGGGTTACACTGAAATATACACCAAAATAATGCGAGTAGGATGTAAGCCACGAGAGCAGCGATAAAGCAATTGTTGAATATTCTCCAGGGTTTCGAAGTGATCGAGGTGAGACGTCGGTTGAAGAAGCAGATTGAGAGTTTTATGAAACCAACAGCGAGGAAGAAGAGTAGCTTGTCCACATTTGCGTACAGTTTGAAATAGGAGTATTCTTCATATGTTACATCGTACATCTGAGAAGAACGATTAGTCTTTCAACTAATAAGACAAAATGAAATGGATCAAAGGAAGTTCTTCGAATCATCATTGGGTAATCTTACATGTTTCCCTGCTCCACCATAAACAACTGCGCAAATTTGCAAAGCTGGCCATGCGACTGCTAAAATCTATGGGATATCAGTATATTAATTTAATGAAGAGTAATGATAGTGACAATGTAGGATAAGTTTGTGGGCAGAAAATTGAACTGTGCAGGCACTTACTATACCAGGTATGATGAAAAGATCATCCAATCCCATCATAAGACCTCTATTGAATAGCCGTATCCCAAGGCGAATCGAAGTTATCAAAAGCATCACGACTATCGACGCAATCATCGACACAATGATAGCAGGTCCATTGGTTTCTGAAACATAAGCTTCCGGTGGTGGTCGTTTTGGAGAAACAGGAGAGCCATGTATTGGATCTGTCTTCATCCCAAACCGAAATAAGAAATAACTGGCGATATAATAATCCTTTAGAGTAGCTGGAGGAGTACCCAAAAATGCTGAAATCGAGCCGCTTGGAAGTATAGTGGAAAATGTCTGGGTCGCAGTCGAGACTAGCTGTGGAGTTGCCATTGTGTTGACTACTCTCCCTCAAGTCATCCCACACATTCAATGTGCGAGGCAATCGAAATATGGATTCTGGGTCTCCTGATAAGCACTCAGTAATCTTCTCTCCTCCCTCAAGCTGTGAATTGCGTAGTAACGTGTGTGACGATCTGGGGTGAAAGTGGAGGCAGGCCAGCTAGAGCGGGGGCGAGAAGCGGGATGGACCGGTAGAACGTTAACTGGTCAAAGAGCAGAAGGGAGATCTCCAACAATAACCAGCTGCCGAGAACGAAGTTTTTAGTACAAAGAAGCCTGGATAGAAAAAGAGGCAGAGGTGGGGTTCTGTTGATATATACAGTATCGGCCACAGATAGAAGGGCAAATTTAAAGTGCAGAGTTCTAAGTTCGAAACAATGGCACCATACCAATTTTCATGGTGGGTTTCTTTTCCACATGTCTTTACGGGAAATCGGGTCACTTAAGCCACAAGGGTTCGACCCATGGTTGTATGGTTGTATGGTTGCAATCAACGAGCACCCCTTGAAAGAATAACGCACTGTGAAGTAATTGAACCAAGATGGAAAAATAAGGCGCCGTCTCCCGCTTTGCGTGATTCGCTCCCAAGAATGAGAACTGCTTCCCCAGGATTTGAAAAGGGAGGGAAGAAGGCTAACCAATACATTCGCTTAGCATGAATCCAAATTTCGTAGCACGTTCAACCTTAATACTCGTGCAACTTGGTCAAACCCATTGATATCAATAACACGCTACTCTACCGTATGCTTAGGAAGACTTCAAATTGCCCATGGAATACAGATTTCTAGAGTAAACCGAGGTCTACTTTCTGCTCCGTCTCATCTCTCACCGGCAGTTGAAGGTGACACATCAATATCACACGGCAATAATGGTATGGTATATGTAAAGCCCACTTTGTGAAAGTAATCCAAAGTCTCTGATTTGCCCTTTTGCTAAAATTTGGCCTGAGCTCGTCGATCTAGAACTTTCATAACACTCGCACGGCCTCTTTACCCTAAGGCCATCGAGACGAACAGAGGTGAAGTGTCGGTAATAGAAGGAGCTTTCGAACAGAAGTGGAGAAGAACGGAGGTATCAAGGAGTTGAGAATCAGAAGACTCCTTGCTAAGAAATATATCAGGTGGGCACACGGCGCAATTCTCGCAATCACAAGCCATTGTGGGATGGACAGAAACTCGATGTCTTTTGTCTTGCGCTTGATTCTACTAAAGTCGCACTTGTCGATTTGCTATGAGCTGAAATATTGGATCGGATAATGATACGCTACGGTTTCTATCTTCTAGCCATGCAGTAGCAACTAAAGATAATCCTCTTACAAATGATATCACATTCATGGTGATTGAGTTTGACACTTAAATCGACCGATCCCTATAGTAGTTTGTCCTCATAAATTTGGACGCTGCTTCTCGAACTCCCGAGGTCCTGTTTCCCTCAAATGATCTTTCTTCAAAGCTGCAGCAACAGCCCCGAAACCATCGGGATACTTATCCGAGTTCCAGAAACCCAGCAGCCAGCGCAGCGGAAGGTTGGAATTAGCTCATTGGTAACATGTGGGGACATATAAAAGTCTAAGATAGAGTGAGTGCAGGGTTCAGGCCCGGAGATTATGCCTTGGCAACCTGTGCTCCACTAACCGGGCTGTTTGGCACACCGGAGCAGACACCATTTAAGGCAATTTTGGACCGTCTCGAGACCGTCGACGGTGTCAAGATAAAGATGCATTTCCGTCGGATATTTTTGAGTGTTACTCTATTACATATTTCGGGACCAGAAAAGAGATAGCTTGAGATGCAAAGCTTAACGAGGAAATAGGGGTAAGATCTAATGAAACCAATCACAAAATTTCACGACATCAAAGCATTAATGAAGTTTCAGTTTTCAAAAGTATTGAATAAAGCATTGTGACCAGTCTCAAATGGGCAAAGATCGAAGTACCAGCAGTAAACATAAGGAGGCACTTCTCGTTGTTCGAAATCGCTGAAGTAAATAATTCGTGCTTTTTCCATGTGTTAAAGAAAAACAAAGCGACAACTCGAGCATGCTAGGACAATTCAAGGACTTATCTGAAAAGTCTTATTCAGTTCATCGAACAGTTTTGGGAAATGCCAATTGCTTGCAAGAACATGTTTCCGTCGACCAGAGGTTGGTCGTCTTTTACTTCGTTTTTTCTCAATGACAAGACAGAGGAAAGTACTAGTCATAGATAACACCAAAATAAACTTGTCTTGGAGGAAAATATTCTCTTATTTTCAGAAAACTTCGTAGCGAGCTGGTTGTAAAGACTTCTCGGTCTCAAGTGTTCCAACCCTTTTCGGATCGACAATACTGGAGAAGTCCAGAAGACTTTGCCAGGAGTGGATCTCGTCAACAGTCAATTGATCTACCATTACTCCGATACACGAGAATTAGCGTGAAAATAGTGCCAAAAGACTGTTAGGCCAATCAAATTCGACGGAGCATGTAACGCGTGCGGAGCAGCGTCCGCTGTCAATCATGCGATAGGCCAGAATCATGAGATATCGGAGAAGTGGGAAAGGCTGACTTGACTTGGGTCCGAATCAGATCAAGTAAAAAGTGGATTTAGGAGAGGCCCAGCAGCATGTCGAGGGAAGCAATGCAACGCGTCTGACCTTCTTCGCTGATGGTAGCGAATGGCTTACCTTCGTCTGTGAACTGGACCTGCATACTGTTGAAGTGGTTACATGATCTACCTTGGCGATAAGAAAGGTGTTTACTGGCCATTCGTATTACTTCATCAACTTGAAAAGGCAAAGATTTTAAGACTCACTCCTACTTCGCTTTCTGGAAGTCTTTGTCTTTTTCTACCGAAACCACCATCCTGCTGATTCCAATGGATTGTTGGTGGCGAAATTGCCGTATCCATAAAGATCCATCCAACTGCATACCCACCCCCACATTCATGCCGAGGGATCTCCAAAAAGGGTGTGCGCAGCCGCGAACCTTATCGCCGGCAGGGGAGGAAGTGGATCTCATGGACATGGACAAAACCTGCAATTTGATGCCGTACCACAGTAAAAGAACAAGGCACCTCCCACTACCTGGAAGAATCTTTCGAGCCGTCTGCAAACAAGTCAAGTTCCAACACATTCATTTATTTTCCTCCTTGCACTTTCCGCTGTCATATTCCAAGGTTTCTTTACAGGAATCATGGTTTCATTTTGGGTTTCGCTTCTCTCTCTTGCGTCGGTGGTGAACGCTGTTGGTAATATTGATTGTACCAGCATCAATGGAATCAAGAAGGAATGTCGCTCTTTAGAATCTTTCTATCAACGAGATGTCTTTTGGGTTGGTGGCAAATACAATTCAGAAGCTTTGGGGATGATGACGTATGATCAATTCTATGTCGAAAAGTTGACTGGACTTGGTGGTGTATGGCAGAATTACCCAGTTGTGTTCTTTCACGGCGGAGGAGTTTCGGGTGCTGTGAGTTTAGGCTATTATATTATTGTGGCTTCTTATCCCTACTAATATTTACTAGACATGGCTCAATACTCCCGATAACAGAAAAGGAATGGCTTCGATGTTTCTCGACAAAGGATATCAGGTTTATATTGTCGACCAAAGCTCTGTAGGGCGTGGTTCCCAGAACGACCTCACTGGATACCCATTACGATTTGGGTCAACATCCAACATCACCGAGAAGGGTTTCACTCATCCTGAGGGTACCAATGCCTATCCGCAATCACAACTCCACACTCAATGGCCTGGAGCTGGGCTAAGTGGAGATCCCGTTTTCGACGCATTTGAATCTGGATTCATCCCCCTAACTTCCAATGCCACCCGTCAGGAAATGTCAATGCGAGCAGGAGGCTGTGAACTTCTCAATCTCATTGGAAAGAGTTTCCTTGTTTCACATTCGATTGGCGCAATCCATTCTATTTTGATGTCGGATGAATGCCCAGATCTCGTAGCCGGAAATGTCAACCTAGAGCCTGGAAATATTCCTTTCGAGTCTTATGTTGGCAACGCCACCTCGGCTGTTGGACGTACTACAGCAAGACCATTCGGTCTCACTTCTACCAATCTCCATTACTCACCACCTATTACCAGCGCGTCCGAGCTAGTCTTGGAAACCGTAGGCGAAGACTTACCAGAACACAGGTCTTGCATCCAGCAATCCAACGCTACTGGTTCTATCATCCACACGCTTCCAAACCTCGCCAAGATTCCATATGTATCATTTATCGGAGAGGCTAGTCCTCACGCATCATATGCCCACTGTGTCATCCAATATCTTCAACAGGTTGGTGTCAAGCCCGACTTTGTCAGAATGGAAGACCGCGGTGTGAAAGGAAATGCTCATTTTGGATACCTGGAGCTTAACAGTCAGACTTATTTTGAAGTTGTCGAGAAGTGGATTGTTGCTGCCATTTGTAACCTTAACGGATGGGGATCCTGTATATTTTAGAAAATCTGATTGAGCGAATGTAAATAGTCATCCTCGTACATAATATTCCAAGAACAGTTAATTCTTAATGCTTAATTCGATGAGATTCCTTCGCCCCTTTTCTCGCATCTGTGATTTAACTTGCCTAGGCGTATTTAAATCCTTTCTGTGAAAAGATATGCGTATATTGGAACTTACATATCTTATGTCTCTTCAATTAGACTGCATGCTCAAGTTGCGGGATTATTATTAAATTGCGTGCAATCGATGTGATCTTTTCTAATTGTATTCAATGGTGGGAATAGGATCAACATCACCCTTTCAACAGAGGCCAACCACCTTAGATTCTCAGGATAAGACAGTGAACAAAATAGCACCTGGGGTTTGGAGAGCCCCAGGGTACCACACGCTCTTTCTATTCCTATTCGAAACAAAAAGGCTGGCTACAACAGTAGAGATACAAATGGTGGTATACAAATGGGGATAGTAGTGGGCGAGAAAGAGAGCCCTAGGACTCTAGCGCACGTATCCCGCTCTCAGGCAGGAAATATGAAGTTGTTGAAGGTTCCTGCCCCCGCCGCTAGCTCTTGTCGTTTGTTTGTCTGTCCTCACGTGATATAAAAATATCCCCTTTGACGCATAATATTGAGGAGAAAAGCTTTGGTTTTATACGCCTCACTCACCAATAACAAAATCCACCTGAAGTTTCCCTACCAGTAAACTTCTTCGCCTCGCCCACTAAGGAAAGCCCCCAGTTCTATACAACTCATCAAAAATATCAAACAAAACAACTTCGCTGCGTAATATGATTAGATTTTCTCTTGGGTGGAGGCGTTGGAATGGTGCTTTTTTTTGAGTGAATCTTTTCTAGCGAATCTTTTCTAGTGAATGTTTTCTACTAATATGTTTTCTACTAATCTTTTTCTAGCGAAAAGGGGTCATGGATTATTCACCTAGGCAAGCCCTTCATTCACCTGCCTTTCTTCAACTGTATTTCCCATATCCTTCACAAGCCTCCTCCAACACTACTGATATAGGAAATATCTGTATCATCATAGCCAACAATTGAGTAGACACTCATTACTCACAGCAATCTACTCATTCATCTCAAAACATCCTCTACACCAAAGAATCTTCAACTCTTCCCCCCATTCAAAATAGAATCTATAACTCCAACAACAACACCCAAAGCCTGATCATCCTGTTTCCTCCCCACGATCTGTACCCCAATCGGTGCTCCTCGATAATCCTCAGGTCCAGTATCTAGACAAGAATCAGTAAAAGCTCCCTCCATCACCTATACTCTATATTCATCCATCCCAAACCCCCATCAATCGAAAGCAAACAAAAAAGGAGAAAACTCACAAAGCCCATAAAATCCCCTATCACCCTCCCAGTAAAACTCCTTCTCCGTCTCAACAACATCCCCACTCTCAACCTTCCCAACCGGAATCACAAACCCCGGGTAATCCATCAGACTCCAAATCACAGTATAACTAACCGTGCCCCAGGCATCGTGTGGAACGGCCGTGTTAGGCGCGGGTGGCATGATGATAGCATCGATCTGATGGTCTTTCCAGAGGTTATTGTATATCTCTGCGATGTCTGTGTGTTTTTTGTGGAGTGCTAGGTATTCTGGGATGGTTCTTGGTGGTGGAGGGGTGGAAGTGGTGTCTACGAGTTTCATGTTGATTACTGAGGGAATGAGAGGCTCTGATGTTTGGTTTAGGTGGGTTTTGAGGTACTGTGTTGTTTTAGTTGCTTGAAAAAGACTTCTTGTGGGAGAGAAAGTAAAGCCACAGGTGAACGGAGAACCTACCTCATTCCCATATATAGTCAATAGTCCACCCACAAGCTCGCCCGCCTCCTTCATAACGGGGAGCTGGATAGGAACCACAGTAACACCCGCGCCCTCTAATTTCGCAACACTTTCCTCCAACCCTCGCTTCACAGGCGGAGTAGTTGAAAAAAGCCCATCATCCCTCACAACTCCAATCCTCAACTTCCTCGGGTCTCTCAACCTTTCAAACTCCCTATCCTCCTCGCTTAACCACCTCATCCTCAAACACTCCGCATCCCACTCCACAGCTCCAGCCTTAACAACCTCCCCAACAACCCAACTACAAGCCCTCGCCGTACTCGCCAACGGCCCCGACACAGGTTTAATCCCCACGCCCTCCCACCCCTCCACGATCGGAATCCGCTGCCCCGCAAAGGGAACCACCCCCGCACTAGGTTTAAACCCATAAACGCCATCACACATCGCCGGAATCCTAATACTGCCCGCCAAATCCGTCCCAAAGCCAAGGACACTCCCTTTCAAAGCGATCAACGCGCCTTCACCACCGGAACTCCCGCCTGCTGTGAGAGAGGTGTTGTAAGGGTTGACGGTGCGTCCAATGACGTGGTTGTGAGAGTCGGCGGTCATCATGGTCTGAGGGACGTTGGTTTTGACGTAGAGGACTGCGCCGAGGGAGAGGAGGAGGGCAGGGAGGGAAGAGTAGGAGGTTGAGGGGTGGGAGATGAGGGCTGTGAGGCCGATTGTTGCGTCGATGCCGGGGATTTGGTAGCTGTCTTTTAGAGATATGGGGAGGCCGTGTAGGAGACCGAGGGGTTTGTGGGATTTTTGGTCGGTGTCTAAGTCTTGGGCGCGCTTGAGAGCTGCGTCGAACATTATTTCCGTTAAACAGTTTGTCTAGAGTGAGATATCAGTAAGTTGTCACTAGATTAAGTAGTGTGTGTTCTAGAGTTCTTGGATAACTAAACTCGTTCTTTCAAACATCTAGGTCAATAACTTCAATTACTCAGAATCTGAAATCAAACTTGCAACTATGTAGAACAACAAGAGCTATCCACTCCCGATGCTAATACCCGCCACAAGAGTACCAGTCGTGCGGTGCTCATATCCCCCAACACAAGGAAGGTCACAATATAAATCGAGAACGAGAGAGACAAGTAAACTAACCAATTGTCCAACAACAGCAGCCCTCTTACAAAAAGCCCTCGTCACCTCCACCGCACTCCACTTCCCCGCCTTGATCCCCTCCACAACATCAATAGCATCATTCCTCTCCGTGATCTCCCACTCATTGCCCTCCCAGAACCCCGAATCTTCCGCCGGAACATGAACAGATGCAGTCTTCCCATAGCTAGTAGTGTAATCTTTCGGATCAATCCTCCATGCTGGGGGAATGAGAAGACTTTGTTCTCTCTGCTTTCGGGCGCCTAGAGTTTGATATTTTGGTTGAGACATTTTGGGGAAGTCGAGATATGGCGAGATATGGGAAGATGTAGGAAGAGGTAAGAGAGGCTCAAAAGGTTGAGGAAACAATTGAGTTCGTGATGACGGTATCACACGCATGTATTTATACCGACAAAAACTTTGATGCAATAAGTACCTTCAAGCTCGTTTCCGTAAAACGCGTACTTTTCAGATGAAGTGGTAGGGTGTTTTACTCAGGGCCACGGTCCTCCGAGACCCTCTCTTTAAGATAAACCCCCAATCAGAAGACCAGATAGTATATGGGTTTGACCCTTTATCTGTCAAAGCTGGAGTTCTGGAGATAAAGTATGCCCATTTTTACTTTTCCAGTGCTCAGCGTGAAGTCACTGTATCCATAGCTCGTCTTGTCCCAAAGTCAAAAAGCCCGGTAATGTTGCAACCCCGCTACCCGATCGACACGTCTCCCACCAAGCTTTCCCTGCAACAGAAACTCAACAAAGTATCCAGACAGTTCCACATCTCATAAAAAAAAGACGGAGAAAGAGTGATTGATGCTACTGGATCCGATCATAGAGTATGAATATAAAGTTGAGGTTATGCTTCATATGCATAAGCTATCTCTAAAACTTCGGCGTCAAGAAATTCCCGGCTCGTTGCTAACGGGCGAGAAGTACAAACAAGAGGATCGAAGCTCGCTGTGAGGAGCCACGTAGGCGTATCAAAGTCTTTTCGAAAGAAATGTGATGTACAAGTAAGAAGGTTTAAATTAGGAAGCGGTGGTGGGACGTATTTTTACACGCTCAATTGGGACCTTTGAGCTCAACGTGTCCAACGGTCTGAGAAATTCTCGAATAAACCAAGTGAAGAACGATTCCAGAATAATAGCATGGACAGTACGAAATTCAAGAGAGGGACTATCGAGAGTAGGCCAACTGTTTATTTATGCAAGCACCTCTACCACAACTTGAGAAACTGACGCCCACTTGAGCGTACATCTTTCAGAGTTGCATCTAGAGGCCAAAGTAGGCGAGCTCGGGAAGAGTTGAAAGAATGAGCAATTTGTATGCACACCCATAAATATTGCATCTGATCCAGGGCCTACGCTGGTATGCAAAAGATTGAACGATTGGTGGACTACCACCCTTATCATCCAAAGCATGTCTGTGGATGATTTTAATCCTCCATGATAAACTTTAGGAATGCTTTCGCAACAACGACCCCATCATGGTATTTATCCGCCCTTGCCAAAGCATCTTCGAGAATGGCATCGTCAAATATACCTTGGGCGTGTCGTAAGGTCATTATTTCTTTCATGATATCCCCGTTGAATTCTGGATGCCCTTGAACGGTGAGTAACCGCTTGGCTGCATACATCCCTTGCACACTACACTTGTCTGTATAGGCCAATTCCTCGACGCCCTCGGGATATTCGTAAACGATGTCTCGGTGCATTTGGTGCAGCGCCTATTGTTTTCAGCTTCGTCCGACCTATAAGAGCATGCCACTTACCAATGAAGGTTGACCAAAAAGTTCCTGCCCTTTCTTCGTCAAATCCATCGCGAGAACGCTCACCTCCCACCCTTTCTCACTTCGATCAACTTTGGCATTCAGAGCTCTTCCGATAATTTGATGCCCGAAGCATACGCCAACGAGCCGCACTCTGTTTTGTGCTAAGACTTGCTTGGTAAATTCCACCAGTTTCAGTATCCAGGGGTCGTTGTCATAGGAGTTGTGTTTCGATCCGGACATTATGATGCCATCTATATCTTCCAGCTTTGGATATTTTTGGGCGTCCACAACGTCGAATACCGACAGCGCCAGCCCAGACTCAGGAGATGATTCTGGAAGTAACCCCTCGGCTCCCTTTTTCAGAAGAGTAGTAAAAATGTCTCCATAACGCCCATATTTCGCCTTGACGGCATCATTTGGAGTATCGCATTCGAGGATGGCAATTCGGACGGGAAGAGGTGGCATTTCGACTTTGGCGTTGTGGAATTGGTTGTATGGATGAAGGCGAAGTTGTAACCGTCGACACGGACAGAAACGATATACGCCAATGAGCCCAGGGTTTGCTGGTTGTACTCGAGTATGCTCGTATTCCAGTATTCAAGGATGGGATGGTGAAATATACTGTAAGATTTACCGATCTCGATAACGATAAGACATGCCCCTCGCGCCGATTTCGGCTAAAGGCCACCCCACCCCACTTTCCGTCCGACCCGACTACAACCTTGAAGGGCTCGTAGGGGCTAGGGATTTAGTAGGGGCACATGTAAACTCAATCTTGTACGGAGGTAGTCAGTTTCTTGAGCTGCTTCATGTTGTGATAGTTCCACAGACGTGCAATTTTCTATTTTTGCTCGACTTGGAGATCAGCCATCAATTCTGCTCCTAAATTGGTTCACTACGAGTACTTCGTCAAGCAGGCGCTAGTGGTGGCATTCACAGACAAAGAGCCTCCATCACTAATCTAGGGTCTGTAGCTAAGTAGCTACTGTAAGTAACCTTAGCAACGGGAAGGACATGCTAGCGTGACTACCCACTAGCAACTAGCTGACGGTAAGATACTCCACTCCACCTTTGCGACAGCAATCGATGCAAACTCTCCGGGCCCAATGCAGGCTAGTCAACGCAGACCCACTGCGAGAAAAACGGCTATCTTGCACCTACACCTACACCTACAGTGTCTCTAGATCTCCCGATCAGGGAAGCGTCTATCCTTTTCTCATTCATCACATCACACGACCGTCATCTCAAAGGAAAGGGTGTGTGGGAAGATTCGAGCTCCTTCTCGCGACCTTTTTTGACATTCACAGGCGGTGTATACATTGCTCTGCAAATTCTTCTCTGAGAAGCAATTGTTCACGGCATTCTCAGTGATACCCGAGACGGCAATGAACAGTTTCTTGCCAGCATAAGTCACTTCACTTACTAGTACGCCACTTTTCACGGAACTTTCTTGACCTCAGACATATCCAATATCCAGAGGCTTTTTTTCTTCGTTTCCAAACTCCCATCATTTCGCTGGTTGAGACGTCCATCGATGCTCAACATGGCTTCGAATCGCAGCCCATCTGGGAGCCGAAACGCTACCGAACAAACATCACTTTTGTCAGTTGTCGATAACTCAAGTAACTTCCGCTTCCCCAGTAATGGATCGGGACCTCAAGATGGAAGCCAAAGAGACAATGGTCATGATGACGATGAAGGGACCGAGATCGACCCGAATGAATTTGACAACCTCTTGTGTCGTTCAGGAAGTATTGCGAGTGGGGTGGGAATAGAAATTGGCTCCCAAGAGACTGCCCTGCTCAGAGGATCCCGAAGATACAGTATATCACAACCACAAGTCCGATGTCCTAGTCGAGCAAGCCGACGCAAATCTTTCAGCAGCATTGGAAGTAGTACGGGTATACTAGAGGAATCCGGCGAAGATACTGACGAAGATGCTGAGCCAAAATCGCCCTTCATGGCAGGCGTTAGTGTTGCAAGGTTCTGGCTGGTAAGAACTACCTCCTTCCTCATTTCTTAACCAAACCAATTGACTCTCTAAAAAAGATCTTTGGAGGCGTGCTTGTTTGCTATTTTGTGGCCTGTTTCGATTCCACCATCATGGTCTCTTCTCACCCAATTATTACTTCATATTTCAAGAGCGCCAACAGTGCATCTTGGCTATCTACTGCCTTCCTCCTCACGTCCACAAGCTTCCAGCCCTTATTCGGGCGTCTGTCTGATACTATTGGGCGAAAAACACCATATGTCTTCACAATGGCTGTCTTTCTGGTTGCGACTGTATGGTGTGCTCTTGCACAATCCATGTTGAGCTTCATCATGGCTCGTGCACTTTGTGGTTTAGGCGCAGGAGGAATGATGTCGTTGGGATCTATTATCACAAGCGACCTTGTGCCAATTGAGATCCGCGGTGCCTATCAATCATATATTAATATGATTTTCGGTGTTGGATCAGCCCTAGGAGCCGCTTTGGGTGGTGCTATTGCTGATAATCTGGGTTGGCGTTGGGAGTTTGGTGTTCAACTTCCAGCTTTATTCGCCTGCCTATGCATTGCATGCTTCACAGTACCCAAGGACTTGGGCTTACCAGAAGGTGTTCAAACGAAAAGCCTGTGGGAGGCAATGAAGGTTTTTGATTACAAAGGGTCGATCCTTTTGACTACTTCAATCACTTTCCTTATACTAGGACTGGTAGGTCTCTTGGTGCCGTCAAAGAATAGGTAGGACTCGCTAATAAATTCAAGAATCTAGGGGGAAATGTATATCCATGGTCACATCCATTTGTCATTACCTCCCTCGTCATCTTCCTCATTGCCTTCCCCCTGTTTATATATGTCGAGTCTTGGGTAGACCTTCCAATCATGCCCCTCCATCTCTTGATCCGAAATCCACGCGCAGGCCTCATTCTTTCCAACTCCATTGGAGCTATTATAGTCAACGCGATAATGTTTAACGTCCCACTTTTCTTCCAAGCCGTCCTGCTAGAAACGGCCACTAGCTCGGGTTTGCGCTTGATTGTCCCCACAATCGCCTCATCAGCCGTTGGCACCGCGACTGGATTTATAATCACATACAATAAGCGCTTGAAGTCTCCATTGGTTGCGGGAGTCATCCTACTTATGATTGGCACTACGGGACTATCAACAATGAAGCGAGGTTTGCCAGAATGGGCATATCTTTTGTATCTCATCCCCTCGAGTATGGGCTCAGGATTTATGTTCCCAGCGACATTCATGGCCGTCCTTGCTGTCTCGGAACAATCTGAACAGGCGGTCGTTACTAGCACCTTAATCTTATGGCGTTCAATGGGAATGGTGCTCGGTGTTGCGACTAGTAGTCTGGTCCTGCAAAATGCATTGTACTATTATCTTGAGATTTTTGTCAAGGGGCCGGATAAGTGGCATGTAAGTTACCTCTCTTGATTTTCTTTCATGTGCTGGAATCACGAAAGTTATGGAAAGACTAATCAGGAATTGCCATTAGGTTATCGAAGAAGTCCGCAAGTCCGTTCTCGCCATACCCAAGTTGGAGCCAATGTATCGAGAGCAAGTCATTGACTCCTACGCCGCGTCGTTGAGGGTAACCTTTATCATGGCTGCGGTTTTTGCGGCTCTTTCGATTGCTCTTACGTTGCCTTTGAGACTCCCGAAATTGGGACAGAGGAAATCTACCTAGGCGGTGTGTATTGGAGACTTTTCTCAAAATGCGATAATGGAGTTTGGGATTTCATTGTGGAATTTACTGCGTCTCGGACTTTTATCATGAACCAAAATTAAATGAATGGAAAATGGATGGATTTAGCGGGCGCACTAGGGTGTGTCTCAAACTTTTGTGTATTCGGGTTCCTGAGATAAGATGGTAGTGAGGCATAAGAACACTTCTAGTAATTACGAAGATACGAAATCTGTATGAGGCGGTTGAAAATTGTGTCTGATCACATTTTAGTAATTTGATTTTTGTATTTATTGAGGTTAACGAATTCAAGGGGATAAAGTAACGTGAAAACATCGGATTGTTTGCCTCTTAAGTGTTATAAATGAAGTTTCTTGCTCTGGATATTTGAAAGAATGAAATTAATCCAGGGAAGTAATGTAGAATGTTACGTGTAAGATAAAGACATTTTTTCTATTTTCTTAAAGGTCTAGGGTAATATAGCAAAACGAAATAGGTAATGTCTCCCAACCTAGGTAGGTCGCGTCGCCTACCTAGGCCTCCAGCTACACCTTTCTAGCCAGATCACGTGCTCTTCAAACACCGGGCAGACCCCAAGCACCTGCCATCAAGCATTCTCTCCCCAATACAGTATATCTATCAAATCCCTTCCCATCAATCCATCCACCCATACTTACAAATCACACTCAATGGCAACTAAACTCACCCGCCTCCTCATCAAAACGCACCACATGACCTCCCGGAAGAAGATCTCTGCTCTCACCAAAGCGGCGGGAAAGTATAACGTCTCTGTGCTACTCAAGGTTGGGAGTCCCCCTGGGATTATGTTGTGTGAAGGTGTGGAGGGGGGGACGGATGGGGGGAAGGAGGAGGGTGGGGTT